CTCTAAACGGGACCATAATTTACTAAATGAACATCATGCTGTGTTGAGAAGACGTGAAACTAGCCCGGGTCTCTCACACCAAAGGCATAGTCGTCACCACCTTCACTTTTCAGAATAAAGAAAACTTCATGTTATTCTGACTTGGGAACTTTAACACAATATTTAAATGTCCCCGTGCAGCCCTGTAGATGCACCAAGTACATGGACATTAAGTCTTAAGTAGCCTGATACAAACAAACAGTGTGCCTCCTCTTTAATCAGCTGGATTGATTGTATCAGTGTTAATATTAGATATCATATTGGTGTCTGTGGTGGAGGCTTCTGCTGTTCCACTTTACTGATTGAGATGTAACGTCTAATGTCTGTGGAAACTTTTATGGTGTGAAAGAGCAACACAGGGTCTCCATGTTTTTGTAAACGAAACGTCACAGTTTTAGGTTTGGGCACCAAAACTCCTTGATTAGGAAAAGGGGGTTAAAACAACTAAATTACTTACACGAGTTAAGTAAAAAACATGAAATGCTGACTTTTTGTTTCGCACGGGAAACGAACACCAGCCTCGTGGTTGAAAGTCCGGTTTCTGGGCCACGATCCACCCCAATCACCTCCTTACTCGGACTGTTTTATTATTATACACCTGCTACGACTTGGGAGCGAAAACAGGTTGGACCTCCAGATCCTAGAGTAGAACATAAAGATCGCCTGAACATTACGACTAAATATCACTGTACACAACTATAAAAATGGTTCATTTCATAGTGCTCATTACTTAACAGTAAAATAACTGTAAATGAGGCAGAGTTAGCTCAACAGACTCATTTTCAAAATGACATAAAACAACTTATTGCAGTCCACAATTGAAAACATATATACAGAATAATAGACAGGTACAATAAGTTACAAACAACATAAAGACAAAGCATAACAAAGACAATCTGCAAACAAGCAACACATCTCAGTAAGGCAAGTTTATTTGTACCGCAACAACAACAAGGTATTCAAAGTGCTTTACATAAAAGTTTTAAAAGTTAAATAGAAAATAAAAAGGCAGGATTTGCTTCTCTTATCTGCATCGATAACAGATTCCGTTGTTTAGAGATCGCGGAGTGACTGAAAGCTTCTTCGAGTGGTTCCAATAATTGTTTTCCCAACTCAGAAGTCTTTGGGTATTTAAAACTTGACAGCTGTGAAAACTATCAGGTTTCTGATCTAAAACTTTGACGGTACCTTTAGAGTTTCGAGTGGCTTCATTGTGGATTTTCTAGTCCGTGCCCAGCTTGTCAAACAATTCCTCTTGTATTGGAATTCAGATACATAAAGTGAAATTCACGGACTTTAAAGCTGGTGTTAAGTGTTTTTAAGTGAGCCCCATGTGGCGTGTTTTAAAGAGCTCTTTCTTACCCTCTGCGTCTTTCGTTCTCCTTCTCCTCAGACCGGCCCGGCGCTGTGGATGAAAAGCATCTGAAGCAGCTGGAGGACTCTCTGGCCAACGCTCAGAGAGACGTGGAAGGAAGTCTGAGGCCTCGGTTCAGGGACATGGAGGAGCTGGAGGCCGCCCAGCGCCGCCGGCTGACGGCCATCAACCTGGACATCGACACCATCCTGGGGGACATCGCCAACCTGGAGGACATCCTGAGAGCCATCCCCAGCGGCTGCTACAACAGCCCGCCCATCGAGGAGCCCTGAGGGCCGCCAGGAGACGTCAGGTCTCACAGAGTCCTGATCTGCCATTTAAACAAGAATCTACCTTCTCTTATAAAACAACGGGTGGTGCAGTGACAGTGTTTTTGAGTGACTGGTACTAAATAATAATTCAGAACAAATGTGTATTCACAGCTCAAAGCTTTATTTAAAGCATCCTCCTAGAAGAGCGTTGATAACGTGCTAAACATGAAAGGGAGGGCGGACTATACAAATCAGAGTTAGAACTATTCTAAAAGTGAGTTTAAGGAATTTAGTCTTCGGCCAGTGTTTTACATTCTGCTGTATTATCAGGTACCAATAAATCCTGCTGGTACTCTAAGAATTTTTTTTTATTGATTTTAACTTTTAAGGAACAAAGAAAACTTTAAAGAGAAATCTGTCCTCACTGCTTCATAAAGTCGTTGTTGTGAGAGACAGATTTACAACCGAGGGCTCCAAAAAGATCCTACATTTCCCATAATGCACTTGGTTAGTGTCTGTAAACAGCCACAATTTCTCTTTCTTTTCCTCTTGAAGTTACGAGGTTGGTGTTGTTCGATGAACTCATCACGTTCACTGGGTCAGTTCACCCAAAAACTCACTGTGATGCTCGTGCTGCGTTCACGCCACGCAGGAGCCACTGTAAATATCAGTATCTGTCTCAAAAATACTGTCCACGGTCAAAAAACAAGCAATGGCCCTGAACGCAACATGTTTTACAGTAAATACAGATTAAACTGCTGCGGATCAACACGTTTCATTTCTGATAATAACGGTGTGTTTGATGTATGAGTGTGTCAATGTAAAAGTGTTTTATTTATAACTGTAAATGTTTTTGAATTCAGTGTTTTTATTTGTTCTGTCAACTCATTCATGCGACGGATCAGCAGAGATATTTATATGTTTTGTTACTGCTTTTAAATAAAACCTGCTGCACTTTTTCTCCTGATTTTCAACATGTTTTAGTTTCATTATTCATGTATGTGTCTGACATTTCTACGTGCAGCACTGGTGACGTTATGGAAGCCAAAACAAATGGAGGAAAAGTTAGGAACTATGGAATAAAAATAAAAATGTTAAGAGCATCTCTATTTTATAATAATGAGATAACGAGGTTAAATATACCAATTCTTGATTTTCAACTGATCATTTACTGAATGTCAAAACGCACTCCTGTCTGAAATGTTGAGTACAAAGTGACTTAAATTAAAGACAGCACATCTAAAATAAGGACATGTGGTCATATTACTACAGAATAAACTTTATTGTGGTATTGGAATGACAAGAGTTAACTTGTAGAGTCCCGGGACATGCGGGGGAAGGATGAAGTCCACTTCTGAAAAAGTCAAAAGGTCAGGAAGGTGGAGCTGCCTGCCTGTCAATCATCACACCGACACCGTGTGGTGCTGTCGCGTTCAGAGTCACTGGAAATCGTGACATGACATAAATATCTCTTCTATGAAACTGGCAGATTGTGACTAACGTACCCAAATTGAAGTCTACACACACAGAACAGACTCAGTGTTACATATTCTACTAACTGAGATCTGATAAACGTCATCACGCCAAATCTTTGAGTGTTAGATTCACCTCCGATCAAATGTTTCTCTGGATCTACAGATGAGTTAATATTTTTAACCAAAGACATTTTTATCTAGGCAGCAGGGGTCCGAGTTGCTTCATGTAACCAGACTTAAATTAAAAATTAAAAATCTGTTGCCGCAAAACACGTAGCATAAATCTCCTGTTGAAATACATTAATTAAAGATTTGTCAAATTCACTTTCAGTTTAGTTCCTCTCTTTGTTTCAGTCTCTCTCTCTTTCCTTTGAGATGAGTTAAGTTCACTGAGTCCAGCTGCGTCGTGTTACAGCTGCAGGATGCTGATCGAGGCCTTTCTAGTCAACGCCAGAGGCGTCGACCCAGCAGGAGGTCAGACTCAGAACGGCGTAGAGAATGTGGTCAGTTATCAAACACCCTGTGCAGACTCCCGATCATAAAACAACCATAAACACGGTTAAAGCAAACAAAAAAACAAACAAACCACTTAACTACGTAACCTACTTAAGCACTGATCAGCCAAAACAGTGATTCTGAGCAGAAGGATGTGCAGCCGTTAAGGCGATGGAACAAAGGCGGGTTGCCGGTAGGCATAGTAAAAAAAACACAACAAGGACAAAGTACCAACAACGTGCTCCTGAAACACGTCTGCCAGAGGAAGATGACGGAGGCCGGAACCAAACCGCAGCAGGACTCAGTGAACTTTCTGGGCTAGAGTTCAGTTATATAAATGTTAAAGCATAAATAACATTAAATTATGTTTCCGTCCTCGTCTGTAAACACACAGCTGCTGCTGAGAAAACCCCAACCAGACACACTCACACAAACAAAGTGCATCACAGTTTACAAACAAAAGAAGTGAAAGGCAGATTCACACACACAGAACATGAATAAATGTACAAATCATTGCAAACAAATTTCACACTGACGAGGGTCTTCAGTACAGATCTGTACATTTACAGAGCGAACAGAAAATGGACAGACGTGGGTGATGATCCCCACTCTATACTATATATTTATATACATATACTCTCTCTCTATATATATAAATATATAGTATGTATATATATCCTCTTTTGTATTGTTTCTTTTTTGCAAACACATTCACAACAGATCATATTCTACCAAGTGATAAACATTCATGCCAGAACTGTCTAAGCATGCAGTCTAAGAGGAGCTAACAGGAGCACATGAAGAAGAAAAGAACAGCCTTATACACATCACAAAAACACTGTTTTACAAAAGTTTCCATCATCATCATCAATATGTCAAATGATTTTCAGGATCCTCAACGCCTTAAAATCTCATTCACTTATTGGCACGACAGGATGTCCTGACTTAGGACAATAATTCTGCCTCTCCTGCCGTACTCCCTGTTTAAAAGTGTGTCTGTGGTCAGTTTAACCCACAGTTAGGGTAGCATCAGAAGCATCAGGGCTCTTGCTTTGCTTACCTGCAGGTTATTATACCTAAAGCTCTGATTTAGCTCGGAGGTTAAACTGTTGACGTGAACTATGATGTGGCGCTATGTACAGTTTCGGCTGCAGCTACCGCAGCACCTCTGGTGGCGCCGGTAGCTGCAGTGTGAAGAGAAAAAGATTTCCTTCAAACGTCGCAGAAGACGGTGGGCCTGATGCAAGAACATTTCTGCATTCCTGTTCTAAACGCAGCGGCTTCAGGCAGAACGCCGAGAGAATTTTGGAGGCAGTACGACTGCATCCAAAGTCGGTGGGAAGACAAATGATGCAAAGATGCATAAAAAGTTTAAACTTTAGTGAAACAATAACATGCAACAGAAAGGAGACAGAAACACACCACAGACATGGCCGGTGCGTCCTTACAGCTAACATACAGGTGGTTTGTTAGCTGGCTGGGGTCATTAAGCACAAACTGTCCAGCGGTAAAAATTTGGGGTGACAATTCACATTGCTTCCGGTCTGAATGCGACTTTAAGGGCAACACAAACACAGAAGGTGGACTCGTGTCCTATTTCTGCACACGTGTTCACGAGCAGGAGGGCGTTTGTGAGAAGGTATCAAGCTTTATTTACAAAAAGTAATGTCACCAAATAGTAAAGAGAAGAACTTCACAGTGCGGAGCTTTAGTGGTTCAACACACACGGTCCAACTTTACGAGTAGTTTCCGAAGTGTTTTAAATGTATCAGTGTCTGTAGTGGCGTCAGGGCAGCCCACAAAAGGTAAACAATGAAAACCATCTCTAAAGCCAAGCTAGGTCAATAAAAACAATAAAGCATATATTTTTGTTGCTTGTTCATGGTTTTCTAGATGAGCTACAGGATGAAGTCAGAATGAAACAACTTTTATTTTACCTTTTCATGCTACATTAATAATGACTAACTAGCTCTACTCTGCAATACAGGAACAACTCTGCTCCTTCATTTCTTCTTCTTGGGACTGGGGACCTGTTAACTTTAGCCTCAGCCTGTTAGCATGACATGTAGCAGTCTTATTTAAAAACCTTTTGCAGGATTCACAATTAAAATAAGTCAGCAACAAACATTAAAAACTCTGGCGACGGAGTTTTCAATCAACTCGTGGAGCTAACGTTAGCTTCTGTTGGCTATTAGTTCTGCGGGAAACCGAATTGTGAGACGCCGACTGAAAGGAGCTGCCTTTGTCTGAAATCAAGGATCCACTGTTTCAATAGTTACTATGGATTTAAATGGTCTGGAAATTATCATGATGTGCTTAAATGCAATGCTTGACAGGTAACGGAGCTTAGCAAACAAGACGCATGACATTGTACAGAATATTAGCAGTGTTACATTTAGCTTTAATTTTGTATTTGATTATTTTGTTTCTTGTTGATTTTGGTACAATTTAAAATTATTCAGATTAAGGAATAATAAATGTTACATCAAAGTTTTTTTTTTTGGAGAAAGGACTAATTATTATTATATTTAGTATTATTTTATATTATTTCATGCCAAGTTTATTATCGTTATTGTAAACTAGGTGTGAAAATATTTTCTTTTAACATAATAAAAATAAAAACAAGGCTTTACAAAAAACTAACTAAAATAAAATAAACAGAGTTAATGGCTTTAATTTTCATCTTTGTCAGTTTATTTCAGGCCGGACATAAGCCTGGTATTTTGGGTAGATATGAAATCTGTCTTCCAGTTTCTTAACTGTGCCAGAATTTAGTCCACGCCCATCACCTGGCATCATGGTGCGAAAGTCGAGAGGCCCAAAGACTAAAACTAACACTCAAACGAATTAAAACTAAACTAAAACTGAGCATTTTCAAAAACTACAAACTAAATTAAACCAACTTTAAAAACGAATTAAAATTAAACTGAGCATTTTCAAAAACTACAAACTAAATTAAACCGACTTTAAAAATGAATTAAAACTAAACTGAGCATTTTCAAAAACTACAAACTAAATTAAACCCGCTTTAAAAACGAATTAAAACCAAACTGAGCATTTTCAAAAACTACAAACTAAATTAAACCCGCTTTAAAAACTAATTAAAACCAAACTGAGCATTTTCAAAAACTACAAACTAAATTAAACCCGCTTTAAAAACAAATTAAAACTAAACTGAAATTAAAAACCAAAAGTCAAAATGAAATAACAATAAAACCTAATGAAAAATCTAAAACTATATTAACCTTGTTTCAACAAACCAAAGAGAAAATTATAAATACCAAAAAATGGGGGAATTTGGCAAGTTGCCTTGAATCCCACCAAATCTGTTCCTACGAGTGGTTCTTGCATGAGGCCCAAAAACCCTGTCGTCTTTTAGCTAAAAGCCGCCCTGATCCAGAAGAAGAGTTTCCTGCCGTTGGTACACTGAGCATGCCCGGCTGCGAGTCATGCACCCCAAACTTTAATGAAGACAGATAACAGAGTGAGAAACAGTGGCGTCACCGCTGCAGTGGAAAAACACATCAATAACAGCTCTGCAGCCCTTAGGGGTTACCTCCATACCTCCCCCCCCACCCCCACGTAAAGTCACATGACACAGACAGAAGGAGGGACACTAATGCTCCTTTTGGAAAGCAACAGCTCAAAGAAGAGTATATGTTTGACACAAGACAGAGAAGGAAGGTTGGGTTTTTTTTGGGGGGGGGGTTATAGTTATATAGATGACGGTTGTATGTAGCCCCCCCCCCCTCCACTCCACGCTCCCTGTTGTCATGCGGGCAGGTCGTTGTCTCTATCCCGAGGCGTTGATGTACAGCTGACTCTGCAGGATGTAGTCGATGACGGGCTGACACAGGTAGTCCACAACGTGGCCGTCACCGTGCTGCAGGGCCAGTCTGATGGAGGAGGAGGGGCATTAATTCAGTTTGAATATTTTACATTTAACCTTCTAAACTCTTCATCACTTTTCATGAGACAAGAAATACCTTGTTGTCAGCTTTGTGGCAGCGGCAATGCATTTTTTTCAGCTAACCCAAAGGGCCCATCAGGAACACGCAATCCTTCAAAATCACCAACTTTGGACAAACATGGCAGCAGCATTTAACTCTCCGCATGAAATGATTTTATTTCAATTAAATGGGTGCAATCAGTAGATCTTGTTAATTTTGTCAGCCTTTTTAAAATTTAATCTTAGTCCTGTGTCAAATGTCCTTGTTAGTTTTTGTCATATTCAGTCCACTGTATACTATTTTTTAAATCAAGTTTTAGTTTTAGTCTGATTTTAGTCAAAAGAAAATCTTAGTACTTTAGCCTAGTTTTAGCCATTAACCATCATTTAAGTCTTTTCTGACTCATTAGTATAATTTGATCAGCATTTGGTCAATCTGCTCGAACCAAAATAGAGATATTTATCATTTTATTCTTTATTTCACTCATCTCACATATAGATAAAATGTTTTGTAAAATTTTAGCTTTGTTCCCATTTTTATTTCAAAGGAAATGTTATCTCATTTCCTGGTGGTTAGCCTTGATAAGCCTTTTAAAGTTTGTAGTATTTTTCCAGAACCACATTGCTCGCCGTTCGATTTAATTAGGCACTCTGTTTTTTTTTGTCCGCCTCACTGTATTTGTAATGTATATAATATTCACATCCTCCACAGTAACGCTGCCCTTTTGTTTAAACTCTGAAACGTCGCCCCGGTCGCCCAGCATTCAAAGCACAGGAAATAAAAAAACACACTGTTCAAGTGAAAATTTAGAGGGAGAATATCTGGCCTGTAATATTTGTCTCCTCGTTATACTGACAAAAAGAAAGAGATTTTATTAACGTTATTATTTTATGAATTACATTTTAGTCTTGTGATTTTTCGTCAAAAATATTGCATGTTAACATAGTGACAGTCAGTGTTTATGGACGTTGTCGCCATCTTGTCTTTGTCTCGTTTTCGTCAGGGCAAAAAGGTTGTTTACCAATATATTTCGTTTACTTTCGTCTAAGGGAAAGTTACACAAGTAGATCTGCTTGAGCAGCCCGTCCTCACAAGAGAAACCAACGCATTCTCATTCCCAACTCCGTGGTCAAGTTAGCAACAATAAATATGCAACGTCTGGTTAGACTTTTATAATAAAAGTACCTTTTTAAGACGGCACGTAGTTGAAGTTGTGAAACGTCGCAATTTGGTTAGGTTTAGGGAAAGATCATGGTGTGGGTTAAAATAACTATGTTACTTACATCACTTAACTCACGTAAGTGAAGTAACGTTACTTACGTAACTTCTGTAACCTAAGTAACTTAGATATAAACATGCAGTGTTGACTTTTTGATTCCCACAGGAAACAAACACCGGTCTCCTGGGTGAAAACGGCCATACAGGTTGATTATGCTGCGGCTTATTAGGCTTATTATTTTTGTTAAACATCTAGAGGCCAAAGAAGTCAGGTGACGTAGTATAAAGTCAGGACTTTCACTCAGGGGGCCGAGGTTTGAGTCCCATGTGAAACAAAGTCAAACATGGCAGGTTGTGACTTAAACAACGTTTTGTAGATGACTTACATCACATGAAATATGTAACGTAGATATTTTAACCGAAACCAATGCATTTTCCTAAACCATACCAAGAAGATTTGTTGCCTAAACGTAACCAAACTACCACAGTTACAGTCACAACGTCACGTGACTTAAATCACTTTCTTTAGGTCTGGTACGTCTGTTGCTGGAATGGTACTTGTACTAGAACACTAAGCGAGATCACATCACCGCGGTTCTTGCCTCTCTTCACTGGCTCCCAGTTCATTTTAGGATTGATTTTAAGATTCTGTTGTTTGTTTTTAAAGCCCTTGATGGACGAGCTGCAGGCTATGTCGCTGATCTACTGAAGTCGCATGCTCCTTGAAGGTCGTTAAGGTCCGCGAACCAGTCACTTTTTGTTGTCCCTAAAACACGGCTCAAGAACTTTTTCAGCCCCGAGACTGTGGAATGAATTGCCTCTTCATGTCACACTGGCCCCCAGCCTTCCAGTTTTTAAATCGTGACTTAACTAATTTTTACTCCTTGGCTTTTAATCTGGGATGAGAGTAATATGTTTGTTTATATGTATGTTTTTTACGGTTGTATTTGTTTATTTATTGATTCATGTCAATGTACAGCACTTTGGTCAACCTGTGCTTTATAAATAAAGTAGGATTGGGTTGGACTGGTACTTGCCAGCGCTCTATATATTGTTTTGAGGAATGGTCATATTTGCCGTTGCGCTTTCCAACTGGCATTTGTGTCATTTTGGAAAACTCGACGATTGACCTATTTAGTGGTTTAGGTATGAGGACGCGTTGGCTTGTAGGGTTGAAGTAAATCTGCACAAATGATTTGTGTTGAGTTCAACTTGATTAAGCTCTGTTAATGAACAGCAAACCCTCCTGACTGTGCTGACCTCTGATGGAACAGAGAGTCCACATCCGAGGAGGTAATTAGCTGATTAGCTGTGTGTCACCATACGTTTTTATGATTAGCTTGGACTGTAGTAGTATTGTGACTGATTAGTGCTAGCGTTTTCCGAGGTGACTTGCCTGTTAGCGATTAGCTTGATTAGATGAACAGGGCTTTACCCAGAGTCCGGTGTTTCAGGTGGATATGTTTCAAGCCTAACTTTTAGACGCTTCAGGCAGCAGTTTTCTACATTTCCAGAGACTATGGCTGTGTTCGAAAAGGGCTAAACTGCTGTCTCAGATGGTGTCTAACAGGACAGCGAGGCAGCAAATGCTGTTTGAAACGGCTTGAACGATGTCTTCCTGTCTCCTGAGACGCCTTCATGCTGCTCCAGTAACGGCCAGTTTTGAAGGCAGCATCGCTGCTGCCTATTACCCATAAAACAGTGCAGCTAAGGCCACCGTAACTTTTGAAAACGGGTTAAGACGGCGGACAGACAAGCTGAATTCATACACAAATATATGTTTTTAAAAGTTTTTATTAGTTTTCTAGCTTCGATTTTTGAAAAGCTAGCGAGAACTAAACACTGAACTATCACATGAGCCCGTGACTTTAACCAACCAAGTTTGTTCAGTCTGATTTCTGAGGCATCTGTTACCCATTTGGCTTTTCACTAGCTAGTTAGCTGATGCTAAGGCTAGCATCTCTTCTGACAGCCAGAGGAGACGCAAGACGGCGTGCTTACGTCACATGTTGCCGTAAGTGCTGCCCTAGAAGGCTGTTCGAAACCAATGCAAACAGAGCTGCCTTCACTTGAAAGTGATGCCTTCTGAGGCAGCTGTCTGTTACAGTAACGAGGCAGCGAGGCCACTGCCTTCCGTTTCGAACACAGCCTACGTGAAACTTGAAGAACAAGCTAACGGTAAGCAATCTCTTTTTGAAGTAATTATGTTATTGGTGGTTAAATTAGCTTTGTTTGTAGCAAGCTAGATCCGTTTTCACCTTTTTCACCCCTGGCGAGTTTGCACCCCTGTTATACAACAAGTGTAGGAATAGAAATGTAAAAAGGAACGTGGTTTTAACAGCAGTTAGCGGTAGAGCTATTTGTTGACCAGCATCTGCTGTTAGCAGTGATTGCATGTAGCATCTCTAAAATCCTGAACTTAAAGTGGAGTTGTAGGTTTGAGCTCTTCTACTGTCTAATTCTACTGTCAACTAAACCAGCTGTCCACACAGTGAACTACTCACAAGCTGCCAGTAAGCTAACAAGAGATATCATGTAAATCAGACTGAGTTGTGATGGAACTATGGTAGGAGTTTCCCCTGTCCTTGTGCTAAGCTAGGCTAACAACGCACTGGACTTATCTCTGAATCGGACACATAGATTAAACTGATATCCATCTGAATGATCTGATCTACATTTATACAGTCTCAAAGGCATAAATGCTGGTAAATTCTTCTGTGGTTTGATTGTGAAGTTGCATTATTCCCAACTTTTGTGCACAGCAGCCTGAGGTCATGTAAAATAAACATTTGTTTTATGTGAAAACACCCAATAGTAATAACGTCAAAGCTTTAGTCTAATCCCCACCTGCTCTTGGTTGAGCTGACGATAGACATTGGGTGGCTCGTGGCATCTTTCACCACGATGATGTTGTCCTGAAACCGGGAACAGCACACAGAGATCAGACGAGACAATGAAGGAGGACGTTTCTCTCACAGTGTAAATATGGATGTCAGAGCGGGAGGAACAAGGTGTGAACAGTGGTATTTTTGCTCTGACCTTGTACTTGCGGAGAATGGAGGAGTGATTCATGATCCTCTCTGTGTCGGCTCCGTCACGGGGAACCACCACGATCCCAAAATCCCCCACGATCACCTGCATCTGAAACCACAGAAACACAACCTTCAGTCGCTCCTCAGGGCTCAGCGCTGCACAAGAGTTTGAAGGTGATAACTGTGGCTTCAAGGTTCGCCTGTAACACAAGCATTTATAACCAATATCGGACCGAATCAGTCCATCTCATGGACTCTCCATGATCAGAGGATTTGCTCCCTGGGGACAAACACATTTGTGTGATGTTTTTGTGTACGGTTAAACTTTGGTGAACTCTGACATGCTAATTATCTCTGTAGATAAATCAAAAAACATCTAGGCAGTGTTGACTTTTGAGGGAATAAAGAGAACCAAAGAGTCCAACATGGAGTTATTTGTCAAGTTAGCAAACAAGAGAGTTGGCGTCCTAATTAAGCTAGCTAACTGGTAGCACGCTAGCTAGAATGTGAGCTATGTTGGCTAGCAGTTAGCTCGCTAACTAGCCTCACAAGTTTACCAACTACTTTCAGAGGATTTGCAAATAATCTCACTTTCTTATGTGAGCAGGTAGTCATCCAACTCAGTCAAGCCACATTTCAAGGTTACATGAAGTTTCAAACAATAACATTTTGTTATTGTTGTTATTGCAATATTTAATAAATAAAACTACATTTGTATCTTGACTTGTTGGAAGCTCTACAAGAAAATAAATTTATGTAAGCGATTTAAACTGTACCTGCTGAAAACCCCCCAAATCTGTCTAAATTTGGATACCATTTAATTTCTCACAGGAACTTTGTGCCAATGGTGGAACATTGAACAATTTTTCACCTCAAGTCATTCGTACAGATATGACAGCTGGAGGATTATTGCAGACAGTGCTTATTCACCAATGTTAAAACTGTACAGACAGTGGATGAGTCTTGCTAGCAACATTCCACGACTGATCTCAAAAACTTGGACCCTGGAACATTAAGCTCTTTAAAGCCCCAATAAGTACTACTTTTTCGCACCAGTGCCTCAATTTGTGCGATTCAGGTGACTTTGCATCTATTTGCATCCACTTGCGTCTTTAATTTGACTTTATGTGCAATATATATTTTGTATTGGTACAAGAAGGTTCTCAGGAATATTAATCCTTTGTGTCCAATCTGGAACTACAGGGGATGTTCTTGTCACCAAGATTACTCTCATGGTCAGTCTGGTATTTTGTCGCTAGTCAGTATTGGTTATTCAGTATAGCCTACCTGCAGACCTTTGTTATCATGAGCTACACATTTTTTTGCATTTTTATCGTTCCCTCAATCAGTAAGTTGTGTCTTTGAATTTAACATAATTCCCTTAAAATGACTTATTACTGTACGAGTACAATATCAATTACATAAATTGAATTGAATTCCTTCGTTGTCTCTTGCTAACAGCTAGCATTCACATTAGCATGATGGTTAGCTTGTTAGCAGTGTGAGAGAAGAATAACGTTGCATGCTATGATGACTCTTTCCCTTTGCAGATGTTTCCTTTGTCAACAACATCGAAATGACCGGTCGGTCATTACGATTTCAGAGGAATTTGCTGAGGGGCGGGGCTACATCATACTAGGGCGGGGTTAAATTGGATGGGGGCGGGGTTACAGTGTGCTTACATCACTGTCCTTCCACAGGCCAGGGATGCAGAAGGACTCCAGGAGGTCACTGCCACACAGGAGCAAGATGCGTAACTCTACAGATGACAAACAGGCAGGAGGAAAGAGACAACGTCCTCAGTAAACAACACGTTTACTGGACACAAACAAACCAGAAGGAGTTCAAACACAGCAGGAAGGAAAACAAGAGGACACAACACCGGAGTCTCTTCAGGTTCAGATCCTGAAGAGACGACTCACCGATCTCCTCGTATCTCATTGCGGTCCCCAGGTTAGCGTTTTCATCTGACGCAGAGAAACAGAAGACATGATTTATGTTCAGTGTTTGCAGTAAATGCATCGCGTCTGGAAAAGGCCGCTAACATGATAATATACTTTTACAATGTGTCATTATGATAATTTCTCTGTCCTCTCCATCTTTACTTAGGTCGTGTCTATTTACCGACGAAGGTGAAGCGTTCGATTTGAGGGCGGACGCAGCAGATCTTCCCCAGACTCTCGCTGACCTTCCCCCACAGTTTGACTGAGCAGAGAAAGGAAAGTTTAGACATCATCAAACAACCGTTTCTAACACAGTTTCCTGTCCTTTCTGTAACAAATATTGACATTACATTTAGCTGATGCTTTTATCCAAAGCGACTTACAATTGTCAGAGGTCGTACGCCTCTGGAGCAACTAAGTGTTGCTCTGGGACACCCTGGTGGATGGGTCACAGTGGGGGATTGAACATGGGTCTCCATTGCACTATCGCCACCTCCAAATATACTCAACTGCTGTACTTAAGCTACTTTTACTTTAGGGACATATTGTACGTTTTACTTCACTATAATGATTGATCGGTTTAATTATTTTACAAATTCAGATTTTTGCACACAAAACATGAAATTATTCAAGTACGGCTGAAACAATTAGTTAATCTGATGTTTCAGCTTCTCTGCTGCTTCTCCTCTGAATGATTAATAACTGTGATGTTTGTTAGTAACGTTGATCTTTGGACTGTCGGCTGTGAAGGAGTCACTTTGGGCTCTGGGTAACTGTGACGGCAGAATCTTTACAAACCGAACAATGGATGGACCGATGGAGGAAATAATCAGCAGATTGATCCAGCATGCAGTCTGATACTAAACAGTTCAGAATGAGCTCCAGCTGTTAGGATTTTGGTTGTGTGTTCATGTTTTTACTGATTCAGTCTTGTGCCTGTCTTAGTTCTTGTTTTAATGCTTGGCTGCATTCTACCTGTCCGTTCTGTATAGTTTAGTTCCCCACAAGATGTTGTTTGTTGGTCTGTTCTGTCGGTCTTATTTGTGGAGTTGTTTATGTTTTGGTTTTTTAGTCCTATCAGTCTGTTGTATTGTGCCCAGCCTGCCCGGTGTTTATTTGCCTCTGCCTGTTTGATGTCAGTCTGTTTCTTGTTTCAGTCCGTTTACGTGGTTTACAGTTTTTATTCCAAGTCTTGATTCCTCTGTTCTGCCTTGTTATGTTACTTGGATGTTCAGTTATTTCTGTTCAGTCTTGCCTTGGCCCGTTAGGTTTCACTCCCTGCCTCTGTGTTCGAGTTCTGTGTTCTCGTTTAGGTTTTGTCTGTTATGCATGCGTTCTCTGGTATTGTGTTACTTTCGTCCTTGTCTGCTGTCGCATGCTTTACTTCCTGGTTTATTTTGTAGTAGTCAGTGTGTGGTGTTTGTGTCTAGCTTGTTCCTGTTTCTGATTAGTCCCTCATGTCTTTCACCTGTTGACTCCCTCCCTGCTCGTTAGCCCTGTGTGCATATATTGCCTGTGTTTTCCTCAGTCATGCTCTGTCTCATCTCGTGTTTTGCCTCGTCTGTTCCCGGCTTGTTTCATCTGGACATCTTTGTTGGATCGTCTTCTTTGGAACTCTACCTGCTCTGCTCGGTGTCCTGCATTTGGGTCCTTCATCCTCAATACCACACACAGCCCTGTGACACCAGCTCAACAACTACAGCAACATGCTGCTTTACATTAATGAGGAAGAAGAATCTGAGGAGATGTAATGGGAGGAGTAGTGGTGTTGGTAGTTTTACTGCAGTGAAGGTCTGAATACTTCCTCCAGCACAGAGGAAAAAAATCTGCTCGTTTATCTCGAGCTCTTGCTGATGGATGGATGAATTAATGAACATGACTCACTGGCTGTGGGCTTGTGATTCATGTTGTTGTGGTTCTGGTAGATGGGCGGAGTCTGGTTCTGCGGCTGACCAATCACAGGAGTCGTCGACGGCGTGTTGACGTTGGACAGAATACAGCCGGTGACTCTCTGAGGCACAAACACGTCTTTATCAACACTTAATAATAATCCAAACAACACACACAGATGGGAATATGATTAAGGTTTCCATGGTAACTGCTGAGGCCTCTGCTTTCATGAGGGTTTAAGATAAATTAAAAACTATTTAGATTAAGTGGGTTTCAGCTATGAGGTCTAAACACCATCGTAATGACACCAAAATATCATAATTTACTTTTAAAATATTTTAAAATATCATAAAAATAAAGTAAAAGTCACTCCAGATGTGTTTCCAGGGGTATTTGAGTAAAATAATATATATTATAGACACTTCATGTTCAAATGCAAGTGATGAACAGCTTTTAACATTAATACATGGAGAAAAACATGCAAATACTGTGACTTTCCATCTTCCCCACTTTTCCATGAACTTCTTTAAAACTCACTTTTTATTTAGTTTTTCGGTGCTGTTAATAACAAGTGTTTGAATCATCCAGAAAATATCACCCACAATAATTCAGACATCTCAACTGCAGCTGTGAAAATCTCTCTCGATTGGCTTAAAGTCACTACAAAGATTTGTAAAGGTGAGAAGGTGAACTTTTGCTGTTTTAAGAAGATAAGAAATTGCTTGACATTTGATTGTGCCTTGATGTTCTTAAACTCGGTGATATTTTCATATCTGTCCTTTGGTTTAACTGCCTGGTCCGAGGCCAGCCACTCTGTAATTTAATCAGTACTTTGAAAATCTTGGACAAAAAGCAAGTTAGGTTGCATTTTAAGTAAATACAAGATTTTAAGTTTTGAAAACTATTGATTTCCATCATATAAAGTTTGTGTTTAAATGGATTTGCTCCTCTGACTTTCTGTAAATACATCAGGAGACACCAGAGCAGCAGCAGCAGCAGATCTGCCAGAGCGGATTTCATTTTGCAAAACTTCTTTTGCTCAGACGGCCTTTTCTGTGAAAGGTGCAAAGTCTTGGAAGTTGCTAACTAAACACTTGAAAACTTGCAAACTTCACCACCTTTCAGACGTCTCAAGTCCTGGTTGGTTCAGAACCTAACTTGTACTCAGGTAACGTGTGCTTTATGGTATTTGGAGTAACTCATTTGACCTCTTTTTATCTTGTGTTGCACTGTACTTACTTGTATACTTAGGGAGGGATGAGGCGAATTAACAACTGCTAAAATCACTACGATACAGACTTTAAATTGCTGTTTTCAGTTTACGTGTATCGGTCCCTACTAAAAAATAAAAATAAAATAAAATACATTTTTTAGCATAAGTTGACAGAGAGAAATAAATGAAATAAATAAATACTACTACTACTACTAATGATGATGATGATAAATATCTCCTGACCTTCATCAGGTCGCGGTGATGCTCCAGCACGCTGCAGGTCGTCTGCCAGGTGTCCTGGTAACACTCCCAGGGGTCCACCCTGCACCAAACCCCACAGACAAACAGGCTGATTTACAACGAGCTCCTGATGCAACATATGAGGTGAATGAAGGTGAATCTGGTTCCTTTCCTTCGGGATTTTCTTCCACATCACATAAAGACATATAAACGCTGTCTCACCTGATCCAATCAGAGGACTGGACGGCCATCTGACACATGGTGAGGCGATGTCTGCTGGGCACTAATCCCTGCAGACACACAGTCAAACAGTCAGTCCACAGACACACAGAGGACTGAAAATGCTGAGAGCAGAGGAGGAAGCAGTAACTCGATTGCAGATGGTGCTACTAAAGCTTCCATTACTGGAAACCACACGCCAACTCTCTTATTCGATCGTCCCTCGCTTGCCGTTATGAAGGACGTTTGCTTTTAGACAGACTCACCTCCTTCTGACATACATCCCTGCAGTTTTATACCAAAGTGGATAAAAAAAAGAACCAAGACTCCAGAGATCGAGATTTGATTTTCTTTCAGATTCACCATCTAGTTCAAAACAGCAGCTCTGTGTTAACTGAAGGTCTGACTGACCAAAGGAACATAAATAATAAGTACTGTCTTTGTTGGTCTTTCAGCAACAAACACGTTTTAATCTTCATTGTCAGGACGGTTAATGTTTTCCCTCTCTGTTTGTTGGTCAGCGTCTGTGTGTGGTGAGCCTGCCTGCCTCTCGCTCGCCCTATAACCTGCGCACACATCGCGAAAGATGACGAGTCACTGTGATACAAGATGGCCTAAAATAATCACATTTCTATTAAACTTAATTTCAATTTCCTCCCAAACTATATGCTCATTATATTCAGCCTCACATAAAATAAATTAATTAAACCCATTTATTTTAACGGCTGCGACAGACTGTGTGAAACGGACTGGGAGCAAATAAGAAAATATAAAACACATTTCAAAGCAGTGAGCAGGCTCACCGTCATATCCTAAAAGTCTAACAAGTAGAAGCAGACTTCAGTCAGTCTCTGTAGGATGATGTCGCTGTACTAAAGTTTCTCCGCAGCAAACATAAAAGCAGCCTATCAAACAGTCTGCGGGGTCTCCTGCAGATGGTCAGTAGGCGGCGTTTTCACAGAGTTGATCTCTTATCTGGAACAGACCCTGCTCCGGAGCAGGTTAGCCGTTCAGCATCAGTTACCATGGCGATCTACCACCTTCGTGGTGCTGAAAACCCAGGGTTACCCGGGAAAAGCTCAAATCCTGCTTCGTGGGTAAGGGTCCAGTGACTCACGTGGTAGAGTAGGCGACCTCTGGCCAATCAGTCGCCAGTGGTTTTCCTGATTATCTCTTGTGCTTTAAATACTTCCTGGGGTTTTTCCTGGGCCTCCACCCTCCTCTGCCAACCGGCACCGGGCCGGGCCGTCTCAAGCCGGCCTGCCTCTTGCTCTGGTCGGCTCCACCAGCCACCTCCACTGCAGCTCGCATGTTAATAAACACTGATAAGTTGTACCTCGCCTGCTGTGTTCAGTGAAACGTAACATAAATAATGAATTTACAAACAGAGAATATGAAAAAATGCAAATAGTCCATTTGTGGATCTGAGCGCAGCATGAGGACAGGTGTTTGTCAAACAGCTCAGATTTACAGAAAAGCCCTGCTGTGCTGACGGCGGCAGCTCTGGCTTCAGAGGACGGTTCAGGAGCCCCATGTTTCCTCTCTCCTCACGTCCCCAGAGGGACTGAGGTGGGAAGAAAACACGAAAGTGAAGGAAAGGTGGATGTTCAGCCATTTTCCTATTGAGCTGGTATTTCAGCGTGGATGGCCGACGTATAAAGTGACATTATCATGGTCGTTCATCGCTGTGAAAATATGAAAACGTGTGAATATATATAATATGATCTCTGTAGTGCTGCCTGCTCGCAGATCTGAATCTGACCTTTGCTCATCTCCGCCTGGTTGAGCAGATGGAAGATAATAAGTGTGAGGCTGTGATTAACTTTGACTTATACTAACAAACACACACTGCCTACACTTCACACGCACCACACAGGTAGGACTGTTAACACGGCAGAACAAAAGAGAAACGGCTGTGTCAGAAAACATCTGGTTCTTTGATGCAAAGTCAAAGCAGCGGAAAAACCTGATTTGTCGGAAACAAAGTGCAAATAATGGTGGTAATAAAAGTGGTGGTCAGAACATGAACCCGTAGTCTGGTTCCATCATCCAGGACAGTCCAGAGAGTCCATGTTGGGGTTCTGGGGTGTTTCATGTTTCCTGTTTGAAGTTGTTCTGTCCCCGGTGAAATTGTCCTGTCTTGCTTCCTGTCTGTGTGTTCACTGATTGTCTAATTACCTGCGTCTCATTATGTCCACCCCTGTGGTGTATTTAGTGGGTTTGATCCTTTCGTTGGTGCCAGCTCATTGTTTGTACCAGCTACTTAGGTAGCTACTGTAGGTAAACGTGTTGGGAAGGAGGGAGGTTAATGTTCTTTTGGTGGATTGTGACCTTTTTCATGGATATTTAATTAATAATAATTATTATGGAAGTGAAGAAATATGCTCTTTTGCACTCTTACTTTGTTATGTTGTATTTGCTGTCCTTTAACATCTAGCTGAAGTGGTGACAGGAGCCGTTGGTTGTTTCACGACAGAATGGAGCATTAGGACAGTACAAGCACTTTAAGCTATAAACTACAATATAATCAACTTTATGTGTATTTCACCTTTCATGATAAAGAACGCAGCTCAAAGAGGAGGGTAAATATCAACAAGTCCTCCAACCAAAACGACTAAATCAGTTGTTTTCCCATATCAGTCCAGCGACAGGCACCGACCGTAACTACACAACCACATGACATCAAACACGTGGTTCAGAAAGGCCACAGTTTAAGGCTTCAAAAATACTTGGTTAGGTTCAGAAGAACAATGTGGTTTGGGTTAAAGCAAGTACATTACGTTGGTCACATGACATACAGTATATCACAAGGGTATTCAATTGACCCTTCGCTAAGCCACGCCCTGAATACACAGCTGTCCAATCACAGTGCAGTATAGGACTCGCTCTAACTGAGGTCCGACATTTTCATGGCTGCGCTCCACTGATTCTGATGTAAAAAGAGTCGTTTTCCAGCTTTTCTGGTCAAACGCTGTCCCTGCAGCATCTTGTAATAGTTACAGCAGCTACCCAGAGATGCTGAAAGGAGAAGTAAGATTTATTCTCTTTACAAAACCAAAACCAAATTCAGAAAAATGTCAGCTGTGGTTTGATCCTAATGTGATGCTAGTTAGCTAACGCTAGCTAACTTCCTGCTGAATGTAACGTAATAAAAGCCCTGCTGTTCTGCTTTTTAATGAACAGAGGCCGACCAGCTGTACAGGAACACTGATGATCCTTAATATTGTTGTCCTCTTTCTCAATAATCAATAATAATATGGAGGTTCACTTTTACTCTGTGATCAGTAGGCTTTAGCTCCTGTCTTTTTTTCATGTCAGTCTGAGTCAGTTTGAGTCAGTCTGTTAGTCTGAGTCAGTCTGTTAGTTTGAGTCAGTCTGAGTCAGTCTGTTAGTCTGAGTCAGTCTGTTAGTCTGAGTCAGTCTGTTAGTCTGAGTCAGTTTGAGTCAGTCTGTTAGTCTGAGTCAGTCTGTTAGTCTGAGTCAGTCTGAGTCAGTCTGTTAGTCTGAGTCAGTCTGAGTCAGTCTGTTAGTTTGAGTCAGTCTGTTAGTCTGAGTCAGTCTGTTAGTTTGAGTCAGTCTGTTAGTCTGAGTCAGTCTGTTAGTCTGAGTCAGTTTGAGTCAGTCTGTTAGTCTGAGTCAATCTGAGTCAGTCTGTTAGTCTGAGTCAGTCTGTTAGTCTGAGTCAGTCTGAGTAAAATGTGTAAAGTCTGAGTCAGTCTGTTAGTCTGAGTTAGTCTGAGTCAGTCTGGGTAAAATGTGTAAAGTCTGAGTCAGTGATGTAATGACCTGGTCGTTTCTCTGGAGAGGACAGGCCAGTGAACATCCTACACTTACAACTCTGTCCTTTCATTACTTCCCAGGAGACAAAAAACAAACGCCAGGAGCACTAATGAACCGAGCGAGATCCATCACCTGGATAACGACCCGACAGACAGTCAGCCAGAACTGAAGAAGCATCTTCAGGCCAAACATCTTCAACCAAGTCCAGTTGCCCTCGATGTTAACCTTCCTTGGTGGGTAGTTAGGTGGGTAAATAAGTACATCCAGTACATCTGCTGTTAACCAGTCACATCCACAATGAACCCAAGAGGCTGTGCAGGTCGGTGAGTCATCTGTTTCTATCAGGTCTGACTAATGTTCTCCACCATGAATAAACCACCAGCCGGGTTGTTGAGCTGCAGGTAAAGCACTGAGGCTGGAAATCATCATTTGAAATGAGCAAAGACTCCTGATGTGGGTGAAAACTGTGTTTCTGTAGCATCTATTATTCATGTTGTGTGTTTCTACAGTAGCAGAGCAGAAAGTAGGACAAGAGCTTCATTAATTCCAGCAGGAAGCCGAGTGGAAAACAACAGCAGAGCTCTGCACGCAGGACGCCGTTATCTGCTGGTAGATCTGATGTTATCTGCGCTTTGTGACGTGACGCAGGTTTGCTCTGATCACATACTCACTCAGTAATCAGTCTGACATTGTGGAACATAAACCTCTGTCATGGTTAAAAGGTGACTTACAGGTTTCCCGTAGGAGTCGTGCACCGGCGAGATGATTCCTCCGATCACGATGAAACGACCTGTTTTGTGCAGATATTCTCTGGCCTTTTCTGCAAACACACAAACAGAAAGTGAAGCACAACATGAAGGTAAACACAGAGTCCTCACTCTGTCTGAACACAGAGCGGCGGAACCAACCAAGGACAGTTGCTGAAATACTGTGCTGGAGTACAAGTTTGAGGTACTTGTACTCTACTTCACTACAGTTCAGAGATAACTAGTGTACCTTTTCTTTTCTGGCAATTTCCCACAACAAGACATGGTATAAAATACAACACATTGTTAAATTTTCATATTCTTCCTGTTGGCTACGCTAAGTTTAGCGCTCTGCCCTTTTTGTTGTCCGTTTGGTTCTGTGTTAATTGTTTTTGTTCTGTTATCCTAGTCTGTTGTCTGAGTACGTCTGCGTTTAGTGTCCAGTTAGCTAGGTTATGTCTGTCCCCCCTGCTGTCTCTCTGCCTGCCTGTTCGTTAGCCCTGATCCCTGTTCACCCGTGTTGCTCCCGCCCTGCTCGTTAGTCCCTGGTGTTTGGTGTTTCTGTTCAGTCCCCGTCCGGTCAGTGTCGTATGATGTGTGCTCTGCCTGTTACTGCGCTACCCGTTCTGCAGTTTGGATGTTGCCCGTTTCCACGTCCTGTGAGTTTTGTCTCGCATGTAACTTTGGATTAAAAACCCTGGAACTTTATCTCTGCTCTCAGTGTATTTGGGCTCTGTCCTGCTTTGCGCACCCTTGATCCTGAAAATAAGTATGAAACAACTTGCTCCGTACTTTCCAACCTGACTGTTAACCTCTTACAAAACACACGGGTCTGGTTATGTGTTTCAGGTGTTCTGAGTTATCAGTTCCACCAGAGAGACGTTTCCCTCTAAACTTTTTACATGATTTCATTCTGAGGCCCAGAAGTCCAAATACTGAAAACAGATAATTCATCTCACGACCCCTCAGATTTATATGTTGACCTTTTAGAGGGGCCTGACCCATACGTTGGGAACCACTGGACTAAACTAGCTAACTTTGTAACTGTGCACAACTTAGCTTCACTTTGAGCGGTCAGAAGAGTAAAATGCTGCTGATGAGTCAGACAGAATCAGACTGTCAGGGTTTGTTCCATGTTTCTGCCCGTTTCCTGTTTTATTTTGGTAATTGTCGTGCTTTGTTTCCTGTCTGATTCTTAATGGGTCCCACCCAAAGAGTACGGAAACGTTCTGAAATCTCGTGAGAGCCAAGCTGTCGCAGGAAGACGTCGTGGAAACGAGGGAGAGCAGTTTGTTGTGTGCGTAGAGGAGCTGCTAGCAAGACTTTATTTCCTAAAATCACTGAACTGACCCGGCCTGTATTTGGGACAGGCCTTTAATTCCTCTGAAATAGGTGAATATGAAACAGTTTATTTCAAACAGAATATTACTTGAATAAAAATTATCCAAAATATCAAATACGCTCCGACAGAAAGCTTACGCTCTTTTATTTTGAAGGCAGCAACGTCAGGAAAACAACAACAGGATGAGAGAAGTTAGCAGACAGAGAGCGACGGACTTCACATGACAGGATTCACAACTTGGATTAATTTTTATGAAAAGCTGTTCTGATTCTTTTGGTCGATGGATCCTCACAGACTGAAGGAAGATAAATAATCAGGAACGGACACATTCGGACTGAACGAGCGCTTCAGAGGTAACGGGAGTTTTCATCTCTCGTACCAGGCAGGTGTGAAATGTAAAAGAATTAGACTTTGGGGCTCGTTGTTTCTGTTAAATGAACTGAACGATCTAACGATGTCCACACTAACACACTGATCATAAGTTTAAACATTAATATTTGGATTAACGATCTGAGCAGCTTAGAAGCAGCTAAAGCGTCGACCCCGCGGGGTTTAAGAGGTTTAATACATCCAGAGAGCTTCTATAAAAACCAGACCAGGCTTCTAATGGAGACCTGCGTTTATTTGTCATAATGTGTTTCCTCACCAGGCGGCTGTTTGGGACTCGGCTGTTAGGGTCATTTTTTTAATGGGGGATATTTGTAAATAGTTGATATACCTATATTTTAAAGTTCTATTGTAAAAAGGACTAACTTCATGAAAAACATTTATCGTATTAAATATAGATATATTAGCAACATGTGACACGCGGGAAACGTCCACCCTGTTAAGGACTTAGACATAACTGTTTAAAAGTGTTTTCAGGGAAGGATTGCTACTAAAATTAATTTTTATAGAAATCATATGTCCCTCACTCTTATCAGATATTTGTTTTGCAATAAAATAATTTTTAAACAGCATAGGCAAGGCCTATATTGAGAAAAACAAGCGCACATTACGAAAAGGGGAAGTATTTTTCCACTTTCTCCTCAAGTGAATTATAATAAGAATTACTCAACGTCTCTTGCCTGTATATTCAATCCCTTCTATATCTTTATGTAAATACAAATATACACTTAATATTTGGTCATTTCAATAAACTATGAAGGAAAAATACCAGTATGCACTATATACATGTCCATATACATTTTGAGCTAACGTTAGCCTGTTACCTGCCTGTGTGAGCTTAATTAGATGACGAATCTATATTTTTTCACAAACAATTTTTGAAATTATTTGATTTGATTGAGCTGCAAAATCACACAGCTAAATTTCCCTCCACCAGGTGTGATGTCACCAGGTCACCTAATGAGAGTGATGTCATTAAAGGCCAGTTCATGCAACTCAACAGGGTGGACATGGTCGCTGGGGACAAAAATAAAACCTTATTTTTTGGTACAAAAGTTTAAAATTTGATTAAATAGATGTTGAACAGGAAAATTAGATAATAATGAAACATTTGGAAATCCATATGTTTTTCTGGAGAGGAACGTTTGAACGCAGCACGCGGTCATGTGTTCAGCTCTGAACAGGAAATGTTCCTGAATGTTACTCTTGTTGCAGAACTCCTGTTTGAAAGTGGAGTATTCAGAGGAGCTCACACACTTCTGGTCCAGTTAGGGTTAGTTTCTCTGCCACGATGAGTTGAACGACACACGGCGAGCTGGCCTGTCATTGGTCTTTGCTTCTGAGTGGAAAAACATGGCGTAACTGTCGACTGAAATCAGCTGTGAATACGTTTGAGGAGAGAAACGTGACGTCAGGAGGAATTTGATGTCTTCAATTTTACTGGTTCACTCAACACGTTTTCACACTTACACGAAGCATATCTCTGCTTTTTACTGCCTACTGTGTACTTTACTGTGTACTGAGTCGTACTGTGTACTGTGTACTATGAACTGTACTGTGTGCTGTACTGCGAACTGTACTGTGTACTATGAACCGTACTGTGTACTGTGTACTGTGTACTAGGAACTGTACTGTGTGCTGTACTGCGAACTGTACTGTGTACTATGAACCGTACTGTGTACTGTGTACTGTGTACTAGGAACTGTACTGTGTGCTGTACTGCGAACTGTACTGTGTACTATGAACTGTACTGTGTGCTGTACTATGAACTGTACTGTGTACTATGAACTGTACTGTGTACTACAAATTGTACTGTGTACTCTGTGTGGTTTTCATCCTACCTGTCAAATAGGAGGTTTTGTGTGTCTGTAAACAACTATGTCTCCTCATTCTGTCCAGTTAAATATGGTGTTCCTCAGGGGTCGGTCTTGGGACCCATTTTGTTTTCCTTGTATCTGCTTCCCCTTGGACATTTTATCCATAAACATGGCATTTCTTTTCATATCTATGCTGATGACACACAAATGTACTTGCCCGTCAGATCCTGGAATGCTGAGTTCACTTACCAACTGCCTTTGTGAAGTTAAAAAAATGGCGAACTGTACTGTGTATCTCTGCTTTTTACTGCCTACTGTGTACTTTACTGTGTACTGAGTCGTACTGTGTACTGTGTACTATGAACTGTACTGTGTGCTGTACTGCGAACTGTGCTGTGTACTATGAACGTACTGTGTACTGTGTGCTGTACTATGAACCCTACTGTGTATTGTGTACTATGAACTGTACTGTTTGCTGTGTACTATGAACTGTACTGTGTACTGTGTACTATGAACTGTACTGTGTGTTGTGTACTATGAACCGTACTGTGTACTATGAACCGTACTGTGTACTCTGTACTCTGTACTGTGTACTCTGTGTGGTTTTCATCCTACCTGTCAAATAGGAAGTTTTGTGTGTCTGTAAACAACTATGTCTCCTCGTTCTGTCCAGTTAAATATGGTGTGCCTCAGGGGTCGGTCTTAGGACCCATTTTGTTTTCCTTGTATCTGCTTCCCCTTGGACATATATCCATAAACATGGCATTTCTTTTCATATTTATGCTGATGACACACAAATGTACTTGCCCGTCAGATCCACAGACCCTGGAATGCTGAGTTCACTTAACAACTGCCTTTGTGAAGTTAAAAAATGGATGTCAAATAATTTCCTCCAGCTGAACTCAGACTAAACAGAAATCCTGGTCATCGGGTCTCAGCAGATGGCAAATCAAATACTGCCATCTGCTGGTTCCCTAGTAAATCACATTAAGCCTGTGGCAAAGAACCTTGGTGTTTGGTTTGATAGTAATTTAAATTTCGAGCAGCACACCACAAAGCTTGTTCAATCATGTTTTTATCAACTTAGAAATATAGCAAAAATTCGATCTATGTTAACTTTTAAGGACACCGAGACCATTTTACACGCCTTCATCTCATCACGCCTGGATTATTGCAACAGCCTTTTCACCTGTTTAACCCAAAAATCTATTGATCGACTCCAGACTGTCCAGAACTCAGCTGCCAGGCTTTTAACCAGAACAAAGAAATATGACCACATTACTCCTATTTTAGCTTCATTACACTGGCTCCCAGTATGTTTTAGAATTGACTTTAAAATTCTATTGATCACTTTTAAAGCTCTTCATGGCCTCTCGCCTTGTTATATTTCTGACCTTTTAGTCCCATACGCACCAGCACGTACCTTGAGATCCTCGGGCAGAGGTCTGTTGTCTGTTCCAGAGTCTCGACTGAAAACTAAAGGGGACAGAGCGTTTGCTGTCAGGGCCCCGAGGCTCTGGAACAGCCTGCCCGAGGAAATCAGGTCGGCTGAGTCAGTGAACTCTTTTAAGTCCCTTCTTAAAACATACTTTTATAGGAGAGCCTTTCCCGATCTTATTGACTTTATTTTATCCCTTTTATTTTATTGTATTTTACTAATTTTATATTTATCTTAAATGTGTATTTTAGTCTTATCAATGTTTTTTTGCTTTTATCTTTATCTGTATCTTTTCAGTAAATCAGTTTCTCGGGTGAGACGTCTCATCAGGTGGAGTAAAGACTGAAATCAAGAGCACACTGTTTTAAAGGCATTAATAAAACTCTGCGATCACGTGTAGTGTGATGTGTTTTGTTTTAAATTAGGATTCGAATTAATGAATAAATTAAACACAATTTAAAGGGTAAAAACACCTTAAATATTTGCCAAAACGCTCGAAAGCCATAATTGGGTTAAGGCCCCTTTTAAGGTGGAAATTATGGGATGCTCTTCTGTTGTTTTTTACCCACAAAACGGGCAGATAATCAGAACTGAGCCACACGTAATATCTTATAAAACAGTTCAAGATGAACAGATTAATGGCTGTAAGCTGCATGCGATGGTCATTTAGAAAAAGCAGCAGAAATCTGAATAATTAATCTGCAGCTGTTTGAGCTCATTAGGCCTCTGAGCGCCTCTTTAATGACGCAGGAGCCTCTGAGCAAGGCACCGCCCGCTGCACGGGCTCCAGCGGCCCTCACACTCGGCCTTTGCGTTAGTTGGTTTGTTTTGCATCGTGTTTCTGTCTCTACGAACTGAACCTCCGGAGGATCCGTCAGCGGAGGCTCCGTTTGTGGGCTGCGCCACACGGCGCGCGAGGCCTGCGGAGGTTCAGCACGGAACATTTCCGTGTCTTTACGTCCTAAAACGCGTTCACACGGCGCTCAGCTCGGGTCAGCTCTATTCTCCATGTGTTGTTATTCGGTTCTTTCTTTTGTGTTGTCGGCATTTTCCGCTGGATGTCGGGCGGTCGCCCATTTCAGCACCACCCAGCTGGACAGCGACCAGACCCGACACACCAAACCTCAGTCATATTTTCCTGGTTTTTAGCTCAGATCCGTGTGTGTTGTTTATTGGGGAGGTCTCAGGTGATCTTTATCTTCTAATAACAACTCCCCCCCCCCCCCCCCCACCTACCGAACATATGGATGTGTCCCTTGGTGATGGGGTTGAAGCTGCCGCAGGACAGCAGGATGACGTGGGTTTTAGTGGCTTCTGTCATGGTTTCTTTCGGTCTCGGTCTTCCTCTGTTGTCCTGTGTCCCGGTCCGGTCCGGTCCGGTGCTGTGTGGTTCTGTGGTCGGTTGTTTGTAGCAGCAGCAGCCGCAGCAGAGAGAGACAGAGAGAGAGGCGAGGTTGGTGAGTCTGCGGCAGGAAGCAGCGTCAGCCTGTTAAAGAGACACTCACATCATGACTTGATTTAATTATGACCTCAGGCCAAGAGATAATTAAACATCGCTCATGTGTTTGTTAACAGAGAAGAATAAAATTAACGTTGAAACCTTCAGTGTGAAGCTGGAATGACTTGATATTTTGATATGTAGGAGTTTAACGTGGCTGTATTCACAGGAATCGGAGCCACTTCCTGTGCTGATGAAATAATTTGGAGCTCAAACACAGTCTGATGGGCAGTGGATGAAAGTGAAAGTGTAAAAATGGATTACAATAATTTTACTTTTACTTTAAAGTACAGAAGAATCATCAGCCAAATATACTGAAAGTATCAAAAGTAAAAGTACTCATAATACCAAATTGCGGCTTTCAGAGAGTTAGAGTTCTCATATATTACTGGATAAGGTAGATACAGCAGCATAATATCACTGACTACTTGAATCTCCGACAGGTTCGGTCAGCTGACAGCAGCCTCTCTGATCAGGGTCGGTATTTATCAAACTTCTCAAAGTGCCATTTTAGTCTTAAGTGCTGAGAATTCATGAAATTTACTCCTACTTTCAAAATTAAGTATAAAAGCAAGTTATCAGATTTTTCAAAGCTAAGAATCACTCTGACTCTCCCAGTTATTTCAGCCAGCTGGAGAGGTCGTCAGGAGCTGCCGGTAGGGGCTGTGACGGCGCTGTGGAGACAGAGACGTGCATCTTTCAGGACAGTAAGATGTTTCTGAATTATGTGACGACGCGCAGTTGATCAGACGGGGTCGGACCGTGCTTGGTCAGCGAGCTGGTGAGCGACGTCATCTCACCACTGACTTTACGCAGTCACGCGTTTTCAGTTAAACTGAAGGTAGAGATGACGCTTCGTTTATTTGCCACAGGGGAAACGCAGCAATGCTGATGATTGTGTCCGTCACAACCATCAATAAGTCAAACTGTCATGGAAACAATTACAGCTCAGCTCCGCACACTGTCACGCGTTTCATCTACTTCCCCCCCACTAGGCGAAACTTTTTTATCTTTCATTTATTAGTGTGTAGGCCGATGTCATAATGTATTATTTTGAATATTCTTTATTGTTAAATGTGTGTTGAATATAAACTCCTGAGGAATTTCACCATTCAGAGAGAATATTCTTAAATAAGGACATCTCTTCAGTGATTGGTCCTTGGCTACATCGTCATCAAAAATCATGTTTGCGGCAAAGCAAAGTGTCTTAAATCAAGACTGACACTTAATCAAGACTGATTTAGTCCTACACTTCACTCAAATTAGGACTATGATGCTTGATAACTTTTAAGCTTTGAGCCAAGAATTCTTTTTACTATTAAGTCAGTTCTTAGCAGTATTCTTATTCTGAGAAGCTTGATCAATACGGGCCCTGGAAAGAAACTCCTTAAAGCACAAACACACAGCCTGTAGAAATCTATTTACCCATGAACCATCAGGGGAGCTGCCGTCTTGTTAAGAGGTCCTGTAACAGCTTAATAAGGCTATGGCTTATTTAAATATATAGGCATGCAGCTAAAAGCATGAACAACAAAGCTGAGCACAGACATTTAACTATAACACTGGTAGACATACAAGCAGGTGAAAAAAAAAGGTTCAATATATAAATATAAACAACAAGCAACAATCACCAACAACATGCAAGTATTTCTCTAAATTGTAAACAAATACCAAGTACAAGGGTTTATGCATATTGACTATATAAAGTGGTCATGTATCTATACGGTAGATACATTGTGCAGGACTCATGTTTGACAGTGATGGATGATGACATGTACGTGTTAAAGCAAACTGTAAATATATCATTTATAAATTGAACGTAAGTGGATGTTCGTGTTTTAGTGTTTAGCTGTTTTAATGTTAATTTAATATTTATTAAATATAACCAGATGATCCAGGCTTACGTGTCAGAAGTCCAAACAAAGCTGATGATCCACAAGTTGAACAGAACATAATCCAACGTGGATCTAATGATGAACTGGAACACTGAGCAGACCGAGACGCTCAACAACAACGATGACGTGACAAAGATCCAAAGAAGCAGGGAGGAGTGAGGAACAGCAGGTGCAACACATCAGGGAAAATCAGAGTGAACAGGAAACAAAGCTAGACAACACGGACGCAGGCAACTTCAAACTAAAACAGGAAACAGGACTCTGGTTGATCTGTTTTCTTTCACTTCTGCCAGCAGAATCATTTTCTGTTCTGTTTTCTGCCTGTTTGACGCTCGACAGCGTCCTCTGGCTGAAGAAAACATCGTAACTGTTTTATATCAGAAAACAAAGACGAGAAACGAAGGAGCATGGAAATAAATTAATAAATATAAATGAATTAAAAAACAGCAACCACAGAAAAGAAGTGTGGTGTGACAAAGACAAGGGACCGACAGACTCCTCACTGTTCAACACAGACACTAGGGGGCGCCACAGAGAACACATCTGTTGTCCATCACAATAATAATAATACTAACAATATAATAGTTTTATTTCTAAAGGGCTTTTCAAGATGAGAAACCAGCACATTTAACATAGGTGAAGCAAATAGAATTGATACGTATAATTACATAAAAGCAAGTGAAACATATAAACAAATAACAGCAGGTGATTTATAATATTATTTCTAATTTATCAGGGTGAAGGCTAATCAAAATAGGTAGATTCTGATAAGTGATCTGTATGCGTCCTCTGTCACCCCAGATACGGTGTAGGATATTAAAACCAGTCGGTACCAGATTCTGTTCATCCACATCTGTTACTCCCCGTTTCCTCAACTACATATGGTTGTTTTTCTGTGTGTGTTTCTTACATTGACCATACTGTTGACTGGTTTACCAGAACTCAGTGTGTTTGTTTTGACAATCTCAAATCTGCAACACTGAATGTATCTAGTGGTGTACCGCAAGGATCTGTCTTGGGTCCACTTTTATTTACCATTTTGTATTAATAACTTAGGGACAAGACATCCCACAGGCTCATTTACATTTTTATGCTGATGATACCATTATTTATTGTAAGGCTGCTACTTAACATCAAGCTTTTTCTTATTTACAATCTGCTTGTAACCTTGTTCAGGTACAACTGTTTCAGCTTAAGCTAGTTTTGAATGTTGAGAAAACTACGATTATGCTTTTTTCAAAATCTAAGAAGTCTCTGGACAGTCTTCCAAGTATTTTTACTATACATGGTGAGCAGATCGAACAAGCCAATTGTACAAATACTTGGGTAGCCTATATTAATTGATGATCAGCTCTCTTTTAAGTCGCACATTGACAAACTGGTACAGAAGCTCAAACTAAAAATAGGATTTTATTTTAGAAACAAAGCCTGTTTTTCTTGGAAAACCAGAAAGAGACTGGTTGGTGCAACCTGTCTCACTGCACTCGATTACAGTGACCTGCTCTATAGAAACATTTGTCTTTGTTGGAGACTGTCTACCATAGTGCTTTGAGGTTTGTGACTGGATGTAAAGCATCAACACACCATTGTACCTTGTACAAAATGACAAACTGGCATTCATTATCAGTGAGGAGGCCCAGACATTGGCTCACTTTTAGTCTATGCTGCATATGCTCCCCTCTTTGCACTTATATATCATGCAACATCAGTTCCTATAATTTGCGCTGTGATAGCTTGTATTTGTCATCTGTACTTACGGTCCGTACAGAGCTCGCTAAGAAGGCCTTTAGTTATGCTGCCCCGTCCACCTGAAACACATTGCAGACTGATTTGCAGTAGCGAAATCTTTTAAGTGGTCTAATGTTGTTTGTTTATGTATCGTAAGGGTCTTGTTGATTGTTCTTTATTGTTGTGCTCGTGTTCATATTTGTAACTGTGCTTTGTCAATATGCTGCTATTTTGGCCAGGTCTCTCTTGGAAAAGAGGTTTTAAATCTCAATGAGATCATCTGGTTAAATAAAGGTTGAATAAAAAAAATGTTGTGTATTCTAGTTATCATAGCTGTTCTTTAACTGAACTTGTTTCAACTTTAGACTTAAAACAAAAAATTATTTTACTTTATCCGTGCAAGAAAACGTCCCTTAACTAGTCCAACATACATTTCTGTATTATTCACAGTTTCAAAATAAAACAACTTATACCACTTTCCATTTCAAGTTAAGAGGATCTAAATTAAAATTTCGTGTCAGTTTACATGTATAAGGTAATTGTCAGGTTCTCTCACCAGTCCTTTCTTGTTTACCACAAAAGTGTCTATATTTTAGTTGGAATCTAAATACATGACTTATATCTGCGGTTTATAATTAGTTATGTCCATGCTTTAACTTTGCCAAGGCTTAAAAGACTCTACTTTCTTTCTCTGGCTCTGAGTCCCACACACCTGCCTCCTTTTAGTTTAGTCAACACATTTGATAAAAGTCTCAGATGGTCAACACAACAAATTAATGCAAGTCTAACTTTTGAAACTTGAAAACTCAAAATAAAGTTCAAAATCCAAAACTTGTCAGAGCTCTTTGAGTTAAAAAGAAGAAATAAGTGGACGTAACTGAACGAGGCTGTACTGATTTACAGAGAATCCGTCTTTATGAGACAATATCACAAAGGTGCAAAAAGCAAAGTCAGTTTGTCTGCATAGCGGATTTAAAGTGGTTTGATTGGATAAGACCAAATGATTGAGAATAATTAGTTCACGTGTAAGATGCAATTTTATGAAGTTAGAACAGAGAATTTAGCAAAAGATGCCTGACATCTGAAAAGATTTGAACACTTAATTAAACACTTAATTTCCTGCAGTCTGGAGACATTTTCTGCAGCAATTTAAGGTGGAAATGTCTTTATTTATACAAAAGGAAAATTCAGATTATAAAAATATGATGGGATATAAAGCAGCATTTTTTTTTTAGCTTAAGTCATTTTTTCTGGACAATGTAGATCTGTTTTCTTTTAATATTCACATTGCACTGCATGTTTTCTCATAGCACCTACATTTGTTATTCAGCATTTCTTGTTGCAAGCTATTTTTCAGAACATTTTTAACAAATGCTTTCAAAAAGGGGACAAAATCAGCTATTTCAAAAAGGGCCGGAGACACTTCCCAGCGTCCCCAGTGTACATGACACCTACACAATTGCCCCCAAACACTCTGACTTCTGGCACTGAAGTTATTGTTATAGTCTTTCCCTCACTGGTAAAAAGATGTTAATTGTATTATTATTAAGCTCACGTGTTATGTTTCTTGTGTATTTTAAGTATTTTTTTAGTTATGAAGGAAAAAAACGAGTCCAAATATAGATAAAACATTATATTTTTATTTTATTATCATTGTTTCTGTCTTTGGTTTTCCTCCCCCCTGAAACCGAAACCTGCCCCCCCCACTCCTCCCCTCCCTCCCTCCCTCCTCCTCCCCCTCCGGCCCTGTGTGGGTCAGACAGGAACAATATGGCGCCGGGAGGAGCGTTAGCTTCTCGACCAGTCGTTGTCTGATAGACTGGCGATCCGGCAGGATGAACCTCTGCGCCCAGTACCTACGGTAAGCTCGGTGCGGGGTCCTCTGCCGGTCCTCCCGCCGTACAGGTGTTGTCAGAAACGGACACTTTAACCCGACAGGTGAAGTGTTTTGTTCGGTTGCTAACGCTAAAGCTAGCTGCTTCGGGGGACCACCCCCCTTAGCTTGATGTTAGCTTCACATATCAACAAACAATCGATGCTACCTTCTGCCGTCACCTCACTCAAACAGAGTCAAACATCTGGAAGGTTTGGAATAAAAGTGTGTGTAGGTGTACTTATATAAAATGTTTGTTATCCGCCACTGGTGTGAATTTATTCTTAAATGTGTGTTTACCCGCCACAGACGGACGTGGTAACCCTGTGTGTTGTCGCTAGTTAGCTTTAGCTTGCTAGCGACTTTCTGCGCATATCAGGTTAGCTTTGATGCTGTTACACGTTAAACGTGATTTATGGTTAATGAATTAATTAACACCGGTCTCTCTCATCTTTTTAGTGTACCGGTTAATGTGTCCACCCGTTTAATCTGCTGGTTTTAAATGTCGGGAGGTGAATTAGCTTCGTGCGGGCTGTTAGCTAGCCGACGGGTTTGTTATTCGGACATATTTAGTCGCGTTTTGGATCCAGGGATTAGTCTGAGCCCGACACCACCACCACCACCGAGCCCTCCTGCCGACATCTGATACGAGCTGTGTAATGTTTCACTGAAGGATGGAGCCGTACGTTGGCAGTAGCATCACTGCAAGGTGTCTGTGCAATAAGGAAGTGCTGGCTGATGTTAGCATGCGTGAGGCCAGCTGTTCCCATGCTGTTTGTGTGTCTCTGTCTAACCTCCTCCTCTCTGTTTACACCCGAGCAGACAGGCAGAGGCCCTGAAGGCTGACATGACAGGTAGGTTTGCACCATCACCTCCGACACTTCACTCACACTCAGGCTGCTTTGTTTTTCACTGCAGGCACGTTTTTGTGTTCAGACTGTAGAGCTGTGATCCTCCTCACTGCTGAGGAGAACCTGTTGAGCACCGACTGGTTTTTAAGCGTTGAAAGTTGGGAGCAAGTACTTGGTCAGACTCTATTATTTACTGACATGAAGCTGAGTGTAATGACAGCAGGGATCTCACCAAACCACACATTTAGTATTTGATACTGATGCCAGTAAAATTCCACGATCATGAGAACAATTTGACACCACGGCAAAATACAAAACCAAAACAAAATGCCCGATGTATTTCAACATTTACACTTTACATGATAACAACTGAACAACTAACAGCTGTGTGAGCTGTGAGAGGACGTCCAGGACAGATGAGAGGGGGTTCAGGACTGAGCAAGCTGGAGAAATTACAGCCTTGGACTGTGCGTGTTTAACATCGAGGGTTAACCTTGTCAACGTAGAGGGTGTCGTTTAAGTCAGGGATCTTTCTTCGCAGTGTTTCAGTCAGAGCTGGACGATTAATCAAAGGGATCTCAGAACTATAACCTGTGTAAGTTTCCCATGTCGGTTATTATTATTTAATCCTGACAATATTTCCCACTGTGGGTGTTCATGTACTTTGCTCTTAAAAACAAACTACGGCGTGTGTGATCACCGGTCGCTACGCACACACATCGCACTGCTCCTATAACACCACCTGTCAGGTAGATGAGGAGATGAAGCTCGCCAAGCGATGCCGTGAAAATCACTAGTTGCTGATTGATATTTAATGGTGGCGTGATCAGTTATCAGTTACCATTTACCAGATAATTGATTTTTGACGTGTTTGAATCCAAAAGAAACATCCCATCTTTAAAGGTTTAAAAGTTTTAGTGGCATCTAGTGGTGAGTGTTGAGCATTGCAACCAGCTCAGCCACCGCTCACCGCTACGGTGGCCGACACGCTGTCGGCTGTCGTGCTAAATGATACGTGTGGTCCTCATGGCGACGTCCATGTGAGAGGCCCCGCGGTGTCTGTAGATAGAAATGTCTCATTCTGAGGTAATAAAAACGTAACGGTTCATTATGTGAAGTCTTTACACACCGCTGAGAACATAGTTATGGATCTTATATTGTCTCTGTCAATAGATCCTCCTGAATGTGACACGCTGGACCTTTTTTAAATGTTGAGGATACTTTCATCACAAACCTTGTCACTGTTCAACTGATCGTGATTATGATTTGAGGTCATATTGTCGTGCCGTAGATTCAGCAGCCCGTGTCATTGAAAGTGTTAAATGAATAATCTGAGCTGACTAAGCGTCACTTCTGTAAGTTTTGCTCTTCAGCTCAGTGGCTCTTCCTCCCCTCCTGCTACTCGGCAGCCAGTGCATTGATTTGATTTCTCACCGACCACGCTGTTTGGCTCTCTTTAGATTTCACCACTCGCTTCGCCTACTTTTACCAGCCGGTTTGATTTTTAGAGCAGAGCAGCAGCTCGTCATGGCGGCTGGCCGCCTGCCAGAGTGTCTGGTGGAGGAAGCTGCGTTCAGCCTGCAGGCCCGAGCGCTCTCTGATGGTCTTTCATCTCTGTCACACCTGACGATGATTAAACGGATCTCCAGCCTGAACAGGAAGACCGACATGCTTGGTGTGATCGAGGCAGCTGCTTCTTTTGATGTCAGCCTCAGTCCTCAGACTTCCCAAATGCTCATTAAACGTGTTGGTGGGATCTGCAGTCGCAGGCAGATGTTTTCTGGTCAAAAGAATTCAGACGGTCGGCCTCAAAGACGAGGCCTCAGATTGTAGTCACACAGTACAGATCAATCCAAACAGCAATTTCCAAATGTTCCATAAGAGGAGAACATTAAATCCTGCTGCACCTGACACAAATTATTATTCAACTTCATTAACAGTAATTAATCATCACTTTGTTGTTCAAGTACTGGTTCCAGTTTCTCAGCATTTGGTCTTTAATCAGGTAATACTGTGAGACGAGGTCTGTCGACTTATTAATAATTAATCAGGTAATTTAACTGACACTGAAAAACAATCTGTGGACCAGCTAATAATTAAAAATGATCTTAAACTGTAGCTGCTTGTTGTCACTTTGCCCAGACGTTGTTCCTAAATGTAGAAGGTTTTGTATTGTGAGAAGGAGGCGGCGTAAGCTTTGGCTTTCCAGCAGAAACAAGGTGTGAACACAACATTGACATGTCATTATAATCTACAGAGCTACAGGAAGGTGTATTCTCTCCCTGTTAGCTCTGTGTTTGGTCTCCACCAGCTCCTGAGGGAAACATCTGGCTCTTCAGCTGCTGAACGCTGCTCTCTGTTCACCAGCTGCTCTGACTGAGTCTGAGCAGCTGCTGTACGGCGGCTTCTTACAGCTTTGTTTCTGGAAACGGCGCTCTGAGAGTCACTATAACGCTCAGGAAAGCCGAGGGCAGCATTGGATTTATACAGACATACAATAAAGCAGCGTTTGATGGAAATAAATATCAGTAATATTCAGTAGTTTAAAACTTAGAACACACAGACGTTTCTTGGACAGACCAGCCATTAAAATGGTGAAATGTGAAATAAGCTGACGCCGCCCAAGTTGTCTGTGAGAAACACTTTGATACTTGAGTTTCAGTGTTGACAGTAAAGGTACTTTTTAGATTGCTTACTTTGTAAAATACTTACTTTCCTACAACACACTTCTCAAGTTTACTCACATGCAGCTGTAAAAAACAGGCACTGAAAGAATTAAATCAGGAACCATGTGATCAAACTGTCAACATTATTCCTGAGGTTGATTCCTCCCCGTGTGTTAGATTCGAAGCTGGGGGCGGCAGAGGTGTGGACGTCACGGCAGGCCCTGCAGGATCTGTACCAGAAGATGCTGGTGACCGACCTGGAGTACGCTCTGGACAAGAAGGTGGAGCAAGACCTGTAAGCTGCTCCGCCCGCATCACCGTCAGAGATGAAGAACTGATGTCACTTGTGGAACTAGTTTTCAGCCTCGTGTTGGCGCTGATGGTGGATTTCTGTCTGTCTGCAGGTGGAATCATGCTTTTAAGAACCAGATCACCACACTGCAGAGCCAGGCCAAGAACCGAGCCAACCCCAACCGCAGCGAGGTCCAGGCCAACCTGTCGCTGTTTCTGGAAGCGGCGAGCGGTTTCTACACACAGGTACGATTCAGGTGGAGCTCAGGGGGAACCTGCAGGATCAGGTTCAATGTCAGTTCTGGTTCTCGTCATTGAATTTAATCCTTTTTGAATCCTTATCAGGATTCTGGTCCAACAAAATCCAAATATTCTCTCAGACAGAAGTGGATAAGACGCATGCCTTTGGTGTGAGAGACGGGGGTTCAATCCCCCGCTGTGACACGTCCACCGATGTGTCCCTGAACCAGACATTTAACCCCTCGTTGCTCCAGAGGCGGGTGACCTCTGACTGTGGATAAGAGCTTAATGAGTTGAGAAGAATCCTGATTCTCACACAGCTCCTGTTTCCCTTTTGACACCTGAGATACCAGATATCAATGAATATTGATTTTTAAGCAAGGCAAGTTTATTTGTACAGCACATTTCAACAAAGTGCTTTACATAAAACATTAAAACAGACAAATAAAAACATTTGGGTTTGGTTTCCAATAATCAGGCTTTTCACCTTCTGTTGTTTTGCTTTTTTGATCTCCCGTCTGTCACCAGTCGACCCTCGTATGATATTTATTTCGTCTTATTCACAATCGTCTAAACCTATTGAGAAACTGGTGCTCATCATCCTGATCTTCACGCTTTAACTTCTACTCTCCTGTTTTATCTTCAGAATCAGTTTTATTTGCCAGGTATGTGCACATACGAGGCTCCGATGTCTGACTCATGCAGTAATAAAATCAGACAGTATATATACAGTGTGGAGAACACATATATATATATATATTATAAACAACAACAATATAGACAGATGGAATAGTGCACTGAGCAGAGTGCAAAGGATGCTGATATAAATAAGTGTTATGTGCAGGTGTTGATCTTGAGGTAGGTTAGTGCACAGGAATTGTTCCTGACACTGTGAGTCAGGAATCAGCTTGTTCATCAGAGTGATGGTTTCTGGGAAGAACCTGTTCCTGAGTCAGAGGGGAGGAGCTGGAACAGGTTGTGTTCAGGGTGAGATGGATCTGCAGTGATGTTTCCTGACTCTGGAAAGTCCTGAATGGAGGGCAGGTTGGCACCGATGATCTTTTCTGCAGTCCTGACTGTCCGTTGTAGTCTGCTCCTGTCCTTTTTGGTGGCAGATCCAAACCAGACAGTGATGGAGGTGCAGAGGACAGACTGGATGACGGTTGTGTAGAAGTGGATCAGCAGCTCCTTAGGCAGGTTGAGCCTCCTGAGCTGGTGCTGGAAGTACATCCTCTGCTGGGCCTTCTTGATGATGGTGTCAGTGTTGGGCTCCCACTTCAGGTCCTGGTATGTAGTGGATCTCAGAAACCTAAAGGATTCCACAGCAGACACAGGGCTGTTGAGTATGGTGATGGGGGCAGAATGGGGGGGCTTCTCCTGAAGTCCACGATCATCTCCTTAGTTTTGAGCGTGTTAAGCTCCAGGTTGTTCTGACCGCACCAGAGAGCCAGCTGATCAACCTCCCGTCTGTAGGCCAACTCATCACCGTCCCGGATGAGGCCGATGAGTTTGACAGATGAGTCTCCTGAGGTGCAGTCGTTGGTGTAGAGGGAGAAGAGCAGTGGGGAGGGCACACACCCCTGGGGGGCGCCAGTGCTGATAGTCCGGAGGCTGGATGTGATGTTTCCCAGCCTCACCTGCTGACTCATGTCAGTCAGGAAGTCTGTGATCCACTGGCAGGTGGAGGCTGGAACAGTGAGCTGGGTGAGTTTGGTGCTGAGGATGTCCGGGATGATGGTGTTGAACGCCGAGCTGAAGTCAATGAACAGGATTTTCTTGTTTTTATTTTCTATTTAAGTCTTTTTGTTGTATTTAAATGTCTCTTTATATAAACCACCCTGTTTGAAATGTGCTATATAAACAAACTTGCCTTACAACGTCCGAGAATGAACCGTCCCTCCTGCTCTGGTGTCTCCAGTTACTGCAGGAGCTGTGCACGGTGTTTAACGTTGACCTGCCTTCTCGCGTCAAGTCGTCTCAGCTCGGCATCATCAGCAATAAGCAGAGCAGCGGCAGCGCCATCGTCACCCCGCAGCCCAGCTCCTGCTCCTACATCTGCCAGCACTGCCTCGTCCACCTCGGAGACATAGGTGAGACAACTCCCCTTTAATCTAATCGCGCCTTTACTGTCCCCGAAGACATTCTAACAAAGTGTCCGGCCTTCATTTTGTCCATTTCAGCACGTTACCGTAACCAGACCAGCCAGGCGGAGTCTTACTACCGACATGCGGCTCAGCTGGTCCCGTCAAACGGTGAGTCTGATGCTGCAGGCTGGGGGACGTTTTCTTTAACTTTGAACTGCATTTGAACTAGGCTAACAGTTTCCACCTACTTCTAGTCTTTGTGCTAAGCTAGGCTAAAGGGTATCTTGGTATCTTAGTCTTGAGGGGGGGATATATTTATGCAGCACTTTGAACATCCTCTTTGTTAAAACGTAACGTGCTTTGACTTAAGAAACTGTGTATAAATGAAATCCTGATGATGTTTTATCAACCATGTTATTATTTCAAAACGTTCTACAAATTAACTGTCACAGAACAAATAATTTCAGTTTTATTTATAGATAGATGTTACAAAAATACCCAACTTAAACAAAACACGCATGAGTTTATTTATCCATCCATTGTCAACCGCTTATCCTGCGTACAGGGTCGCTACTTTACAGTAATGGAAGTTTAAACAAGCTTATAGATGCGTCTCTCTGACTGTATCTGTGAAAATGAGTGTAAAGGATCTCCTCTCCTGCCCAGAGGGGACTCATTGGATATTGAACGGTCTTTGTCGTTCGTGCCGAGGATGTGAAGTGTGACTTTGTGTTTGTGCAGCATCCGTCCATCTTGTTCAGCTTCTTAGTGTCACCGGCTCTGATGGGCAAAACTGGACTTGCAACAACAGGCTGGTAGAAAATGTGCAACATATTGCCGCACACGTTAAAGGACCTGGGCTTCCTCGAGAAGAAGAGTCTGCGCTGTCTCTTCTCGTAGACCGTCACTGTGTTTTAACTAGGGCTGGGGCGATTCGTCAACCCATTACGTAAATACGTCGACGTGTCGCTGCATCTGGGGTGGGATTCTCCGGGACAAGCTCCAGCTACAAGACGGCGCCTTTGACCGTCTAAAGTTTAGAGAATTTCAAACAATCAACAACGTGCTGCTCTGGGAGCTCTGAACTGGAAACAGCTTCACTGCAGCACAGCTGCTGTCCACGAACACGTGAAGCGAAAGTATCCCGCAGCACTTTGTCTAGACGGCAGCGCCGCAAATTGTGTTTCCTTTCTGTCGCCACACGAGCACGGCACATTATCAGCACGAGGACACGTAGTGTTTCTTCATTGCCTTCATGTTAAAAGTAATTTCTGCCCCGCTGCTGTCATGGTAACGTTACACCGCGAGTCACGTAACGATCGGCTGTTTCATATTTTCTGTTTGAGCGAGAAAACAGCTGAATCTAATTACAGACGATCTGTGACTGTCTGTACAGTCTGAGTCCTTTCAGGTGTTCACTGATGCAGAAATACATTTTATTATCATACTGCATTACTTAATATTGAAATGAATCCATGTCAGAAACATTTAAAGTTTTAAGTAAAGCAGCGTAATTAGTCAGTGATGTGGAAATTTGATTCATTTTAAGATTTGCTGCTATTGTCATTATTCTGATGTGCTTCATCAGGATGATTGAATAAAATATAGATTTATTGATTAGATATGTTTTTGATATTTGGATAAATTTGTATGTTAATCGAGTAATAGGCAACTTTTCTTTCTTTAGAATAAACAAAATTAGTCGTTAGATTAATCAACTTGAAAAATAATCGATATGTACAGCCCTAGTTTTAACGACCGGGTGCGTTTGTTTTGGAGAGGAGCCTCGGTGGTAATTCGGCTGCAGGTAGAAACCTCCTGAACGGTCATCACCGAAGGATTCCTAAAATAAAAACAAACTCAGCTGCACCGGCTGCACACAGGTTATTTCTGACACGGATTTGTGGTCGATTCTCTCTGACCAATCGGTGGTCTGCGGCGCTTTCACGCCACCTTTCAGTATCGCGTCAGCCGCTTAGAACAGACGTGATACCAAAATCACAGACAAGTAAAGTCGAGGCGACAGGAAAAGGGGCAGAGGTGAACGCCCAGGCGTCTGGAACCCTCCGCCTCCGTCACCTCTTCTCCCCGGATGTAAATAGTTTTCAGATTAATCCTGGTCCTCCGAAAGTCCACAAAAATATAGTTAGCTAGCTTCCTAAAAATGTAAAAATTCTCTGGATTATATTGTGGCTTTTTCCAGCTACTGAACATGTCAAGAATTAGACCCTTCCTTACGTGTTCCAGCAGGTAAAGCAGCACTCGGATTAGAGCGGCCATGTTTGTAGTTTCTCCCTGTGTATGTGGTGTGATGTTGCTCTGTGTCTCCTGCAGGTCAGCCGTACAACCAGCTGGCCATCCTGGCGTCCTCTAAAGGAGACCACCTCACCACCATCTTCTACTACTGCCGCAGCATCGCGGTCAAGTTCCCGTTCCCAGCAGCCTCCACCAACCTGCAGAAGGCCCTGTCCAAAGCTCTGGAGAGGTAACGCTGCGGGAAACAAACCTCACACGACACGTGGGAGTTTTCTTTTAATGCTCCGTTTAAACTGGCTCTGACGCCGTCCTCTTCCTCCCTCTGTGTCCCTGCAGCCGCGACGAGGTGAAAACCAAGTGGAGCGTGTCGGATTTCATCAAGGCCTTCATCAAGTTTCACGGCCACGTGTACCTGAGTAAGAGTCTGGACAAACTGGATAGTCTGAGGGAGAAACTGGAGGAGCAGTTTCAGGTACAGCATGAGGACACTTTCCAGAGTTTCTTCTGCGCGGTGTGATTTAAAGTCTGATGACCTGTGTGTGTGTGTGCAGAGGCTGATGTTGCAGAAAGCCTTCAGCTCTCAGCAGCTGGTTCACATCACCGTCATCAACCTGTTTGAGCTCCACCACCTCAGAGACCTGACGGCTGACGGCGGCGAGCAGAGCTACAGCAGCGAGCAGCAGATCAGCTGGTTCCAGCTGCTCGGACTCTTCAGTAAGAACCGAAATACTCCAAATACTGACTGCGATAATACTGCTAGTATTCACACTGCCGGGGCTGCTCGGCCTTTCAAGTAGCCGTGTTTCCGTGCTAGAACCACCAAGACCAGTCTGGGCCGGGCGGGTCATGAATAAGTACTTATATTATGTGATGTGACTATAAGACAAGTATGTGTTTTAATAGCGACAGTTACAATATCGACCATCGATTCAGGAACGAGACCTCGGTATTGTGTTTACATGTGTGTCTGTTTACATAAGAATTAAATGGCTACTTCTGTCCTCTCGTCTCTCCGTGTCGGAGGCAGCTCCTCCACATAAAGAGCGACAGGTGTCGATAACGAGTTGCTCGAAGCTATGAGGTGTTTTAATTGGTGTTTTTCCCAAAGACTAGATGACTCTGGTCAGAATGTTTGTAACGCTCGAGGTGGCCGCGTCGATCGTAGTAGATCGTAGCCTTCGTCCGTCAATAATAACCTCGCCTATTATTGACAGAAGCTGTTTCAAGCGGCACAGAGCAGATGAACACCCTGTGCAGACTCCTGATCATAATACAAATAAAACAAAGAAGAAACCGTTTAACTGCGTAGCCTCAACCACGGTAGAAGCACAAGTTAATAAATCTACAAAAGCCGGTTAAAATGACGACTATATTGTGTATTGCACATATTTCTGGGACAGTGTATCGTCCAACATAAGCTAAGGTTTAGTTAATGATCTGTGACTGCTGCTGTGTTGGAGGGCTGGCTCATGGTTGGTTGTTGGTGGCGTTTGACGTGACTTCCTGTGTTCCCAGTGTCCTTCCTGGGTGTCATGTGCAGCCGCGCTCTGCTCAACAAGAGCCGAGGGGAGGAGATCATGGGGGAGTGTCCTCTGCCGGCCATCAAAGTGTCTCTGGAGTGGCTCAAACTGAGGCCCAGCGTCTTCCACGAGGCCGCTGTGGACAAGAGGCAGTAGTAAGTCTTCTGTCCTTCAGTCATTTGATCAACGCTCAGTGGTTTTGCGGTTGTTAACTCCTCTTCCTGTCTCTCAGTATCTGGCCCTGGCTGGTCTCCATCCTCAACAGTTTCCAGCCCAAAGAGGACGACGTGTCGGGTTCCTCAGGTAGGACCGCAGCGCTGAAACCAATCAGGTTCTTTATTTAGTTCAGGGATCGATACGAGCTCTGGTCTGAGTCCAAACAGCGTTTTACAGGAACAACGACTCTGTTGGTGGATGGCAGTTAGTCTTCATATCCTGTCATCCCTTCAGAATAAAAGCTGCTTTGGTCTTTGTGCTGGTCACCCTCTGATTCAGCCGATCTTTATAATCCAGCTGCTGCCGTCTCTTCCCGGATGGATCACGCTTTCACTCTTTTGTTTTGTTTGCCAGGAGGAAGAGCTTTAATGTTTTTGTTGTTGTTGACCTTCACAAATGAATCTCAGTGTTTCCAGACTTTGACATCAGGATGTTTTAGTTCCCAGAAGAGCCAAAGCCACATTAACAGCTTTAATTTTTCCAGCTGATGTATAAATGATGTGACAGCATTGCCAGATGTGTTCAAGCTGAAGGTGTGTTTACTTTCTCTGCAGTGACGCCCCTGCCAGAGGAGTTTGAGTTGCAGGGTTTCTTGGCGCTCCGCCCGGCTCTGAGGTATTCCACTTTGATTCAGCAGTGTGGTGGAGAATCAGTCATCAGTGTGTGTCCATGTGTTGATGTCTGTTGGGTGTTTCAGGTCCCTGGACTTCACTAAAGGTCATCAGGGCATCCTGGTGGACCGGGACGGCCTGCCGGTTCACACTCGACACCAGAGACTCATCAGTCTGGGCAAATGGGTGGCCGACAACCAGCCGGGGTGAGTGTTCGTCTGCTCTGTCAACAGAAAGACAACCTTACTGTGAAAACGGTGAGACAGATTATTAATTAATCGATAATAGAAAGGGTAGTCGCAGAGCGAGAGGAGAGCTCAGTAGGTGCAGTTCTGTAGTGTCTCTTTGACATCCAGGTTTAAAAAAGAAACAATATTTTGTCTGAGGGCAGTGGTTGAATGACACGCCTGTCCTCCACCTACCTTGTGCCCTGTGGAAATCCCATCTGTGGTTTGTTTTTATGTTCCAAAGGTGCAAAACTGGCCGTCACAAATAGTTTGATCTCTAGTAAATAAGCAGAATACTAATCAGCCACAGGTCTCCACCTGTGAGAGAGCAGCACGCGTCACATTCAGGCAAAAGCCTGAAACAGTTTCTAAAAACGTCACCGAACACGTTGCTGACTGATCTATAACACACAGCTGAAGGCTGGAGAGACTTTCCACTGCATCGGTGACCAGAATGTGGAAAAGAAAGGAGATAATGAAATGAAAGTTTGATTTTAGGATCCATAGTTTGTCTTCCACAAGCTGTTTAGAGTCATTTTATAGTAATTTTTAGCCTTTTTGAAACTCTTAACAGGACTTGCAGTAACCAGTAGAAGGATAAGCTTTACTGACCACATCAAAAAGACGAGGAGCCCGATTGGCATGCGATTTTGTTATTTGACATGCATAGTTTGTCCACCAGAGGGCGCTCTGCAGCTTACTGTTGGCAACACGGGGCTTTGGAACGCCGCAGATCACAGAAATCAGCTGTACTTCTGTTCAAAGTATTAGTTATTTAAACTGCATTATGTCGTTGTCTTGGTGAGGGTTTCATAAATACACATATCAAATGTTAGGGATGATCTGTATGTAGGGCTGGGCAATAAAACAATAATGATTATTATTGCAATATAATCAGGACTTAATTTTTCTATTAAAATATTTATTTTGTTGACTTTAATCATAATAGTTTTGAATGTTTTACCTCAGATTTGTGAAGTGATTCTCTGTTTGGCATCAAGTTTTTGTCCAATTCTGACTATAAAGAAAAGTTTAACCACATAATTAACATCAGGTTTCTTCAACTTTCACTCAGGAGCAAAGATCAGCCTTTAAACATGAAAAAATAACGATTTGACATTTATCCTGATAATTATCGATATCGACTGATATGAAATGTTTTTATTGTGATAACATCTTTATGTTATGGGTCTCTAAAAATAATTAAATAAAGAAGGTTGACGTATATAAATCAGAAGATCAGATTTTAAAATCCTCAAATATCAAACTCTGGATCTGCCTTAAAGATCCCAAGTCCTCAAACTCTGAGTCACTTCTTCTCCTCTCTGCAGGCTGATCCAGTGCAGAGCGAGTGAGGACGGCCTCCTCGTCTTCATCACCGACATTCCGGAGCAGGACATCGAGGAGCCGCAGGAGAAGGACGCGCCGGTGCTGCAGGAGTCGTCCAACGGCGAGCAGACGCCCAACGACGGCGGAAACTCCGGCCTGAAGTCGGTGCTGTCTGCCGGGAAGACGCAGAGCTCGTGGCCCGACGGCAGCGACCGGCCCGTCGTCACCTTCAAGGAGAACATCAAGCCCCGAGAGCAGGGCCGCGAGGCCACACGAAACCATCACCTGAAAGACAGCGGCAAGGAGCGCCGGGACTTCGCCAAAGGCAACGGGGCTGCTGGGAAAGCAGAGCTGAAGAGGGACGGGAAGAGGAAGAGCGAGCTGAAAAAAGCCGGTCACGAGAAAACCACGGACGCCGGGAAACAGGTGCGAACTTTTTACCACCTTTGAGCAGCTTCATCGGCGACAGAGCCGCTCAGATTTCACCGAGGAGTCGAGTCCGAGCAGCCGACTGATTTTGTCCTCTCGTTCAGGTGAAGGCGCAGACGGAGCTGAGGAAGACTCCGGTGTCCGAGGCCAAGAAGACGCCTGTCACTCAAACTCAAACCACCTGCTCCAACCAGTTCATCCCCATCCATCATCCTGGAGCCTTCCCACCCCTGCCCAGCAGACCAGGTACACACACACACACGCATTTCACAAAGTTACCTTCAAATAGAAGCTAAAACCCTCTGCTAAGCCCCGCCCCCCTTAGATACTGTTCCTAAGTCCTTAAAGTCAAAGTCATTAAAAAGCAGTACGGCTTTATTATGTTACACTCAGCAGGAAGTTACATCTAACTAACATTATATTAAGAACGATCGACAGTCGACATGTTTCTGGATTTATTTTAGGTTTTGGAAAGAGAATAAATCGTCCTTCTCTTTTCAGCCTCTGCTGTAACTACTACAAGATGCCGAAGGGACGGCGTTTGACCAGATCTTAGAAAAATACAGCCAGAAAAAGCTGGAAAACGACTCGAAAGTGTTGGACCTCAGTTAGAGCGAGTCCTATACTGCGCTGCGATTGGCCAGCTGTGTATTCAGGGCGTGGCTTAGCGAAGGGTCGGTTGATTAGTTGATCAACAGAAAATAGTTAATTGATGGTTTTAAATTTCTGCGGGCGTTTCTGTGTGTTTCAGACCTGCTGTTACTTGTGTTGGAGATGTTGTATATTGCTGCCGTTAAGGATTTGATTAGATTTTTCTGAAAATGTGTAGGATTTTATAATGTGTATCTTTACAGGCCGTTTTCTCTAAATGGGTTTTTCCTCTGAGCCTGAAATCTTCCGCAGCTCTAAAGCCGAGTTCACACTACACGATTTTTAGCCTGAATTGCCGCTCGGCGACCGTCAGGCTGCGATCGGAGGTAAATCAGCGGTCGATCGGCGGACGCCAGTCGTTATGTGTGAACTACTCAACGACGCATCAAAACGGCTCGACATCCACATCCAGCCAATGAGAGCAGGCGGCTACTTTTTCACTTCAAAACCTTTTTCCTCCCCTGCAGCTCTCTGTAGCTCAGCCTGCTGCTGCCTGCGTGTGCTGATCCATCCTTTCACCCAGATTCTTTGTCTTTAGAATAACAAACAGCTGTTTCATTTCCTGTTTCATATTTCACGTGTGTTTTCTTGACTAAACGTGGTTTGGAGACCAGCGTCAGACGACTCAGCCGCTGTCAGCTCGTGTAGCGTGTGACCCCCTGTCACCGATCAGTCACGTAGCGTGAACGCCACGACGACTTCGAGACTCCCGTCACCAAACTCTCCAGCTGTCTTCCTGACTGTATTCTGAAGCTTTTTAGAGGCGTTTGTTCATCTGTCATTCACAGCCTGAATTATAGAACTTTTTTTCACTGAAACATGGTGAAAATTGGCTTGTTGACGAGGCTTGAGCAGGTGAAGAGCGACGCACAGTGAGAGAGTCTGATCCAGCAGGTCCAGAGCAGAATCCGGTAATACTTCAGCCGGGAGGGGGTCCAGGCGGAGAGCAGCCGGGATGAGCGGTGTTTCCTAAATCTAAACTAAATCTAACACGTTGTTATGCATAATTCCCTTTCAACTCATATTATAGCGACTAAATGCTCTTCTCCTGCAACCCCCTCAATCGGATCTCAGAACTGAAAATCCGATGTGTACCCAACGGTTGAGGGTCCAGCCTCTGATTTATGAAATAATAAGAGAGATCCCCTCAGTGTTCAGATTTCAGTTCTTGAAATAGATGCAAATTAGCACATATTTAATTGGATAGTGTGTCATTTGCATATTTAAACATCATAATTCAGAAAACTTGTAATACAAAATATTGTCTTAATGCAATTAATCAACTATGAAAGTTTCATGGCGATAATTTCTTTACCGTGTTGACCTGCAGCGCCTCGCCTGGCTCAGTTGTCCACCTCACGTGTGTCTGACCTTTACTAACCGTTACTTTTGTCAGTACAGGTGTCAACGCAAGCTGCATTTTGCGTAAATCAAGTTATATCAGAATTATTTGCTGGAAACACTGAAGTGGCCTCGTGTTGGATCTGATCGCAGATTTACAGTCCGTTTAAATTCTGCTCTTCCTCCGCAGGTTTCCCCCCCTCGGCCTACGTGATCCCTCCCCCGGTGGGCTTCCCGGGGCTTCAGGTGAATCCAGGCTTCACCTTCTCCACTGGGGTGTCGGTCCCGTCCTTCCTTCAGCCGGGCGTGCACACCCAGGCCGGCACCCAGGGCGGGAAGCCGTCCCACATTCCCTACAGTCAGCAGAGGCCCTCTGGTCCCGGTCCGGGTCAAGGGCCGGGGTCCTCGGGCCCGGGCCCTATGAACCAGGGCCCCTCCCAGGGTCAGCAGCCCCAGGCGCCCTCCCAGCAGGCCTTGCAGCAGTCGGTCCAGCTGCAGGTGCAGGCGATGAGCCAGCAGCAGCAGCAGTCTCCCACCAAACCGGTCCAGCAGGTCGGGATGGGGAAGAGTCCACCTCACCACCCGGGGATGCAGCAGGTCAGTGTCTGCAGGTCTTCCTCCCTCGCTGCAACCTCCACCAATTACAGAGGAGGACAGCCTGCTTTAAGCCTGATTGGCTAAACTTATTGCATCAAAAAATAAGTCCTGTTGGTGCACAGAAACACTTCAACTGAAAGTTCTGTGAGCCCGTTGGTCCCCTCAGATAAATAGTTTCATGTTTTAAAGGCTCAGCAATTGTAGTTTCTATCAAACTCAGCAGGAAATGGTGCATCTGCTGGGGACTACTTCCAGCGGCGGATGAATCCACATGTGGTTCTGTAGTGAGTCTTTGGGGCAGCAGGACGGTCAGAATAAACTACAGTGTGTGTTTGTGGGTTTTTCTTTGCTGTGAAACCCAGACCGCCCTGCTGACCGCTCAGAGTACACTAAAGTAATGGTCTCTCTGGTCGTGTGTCTGGTCTCTGCAGTACATGCAGGTCCAGGATCAGCCGGCACAGATGTGGAACCAGGCTCAGGCCGCTCTGCAGAAGATTTCTCCCATGCAGATGTCCATGAAGCAGCAGCAGCCTCAGCAGCAGCAGCAGCAGCAGCAGCAGCAGCAGCAGCAGCAGCAGGCCTTTTACATGGCGGCTCAGGATCCCCTCAAGCTGTACGAGCACCAGCTGCAGCCGCCCAACATGGACAAGAAGATCAAGTACCCCAACATGCAGGATTTCTACTGGGAGCCGTCCTACCGGATAGGGGACGGTCTGGCTGTGATGGCAGACAGGATAAAGAGGCCTCCGCCTGGTGGGATCTGCTCTGAGCAGGACCCGTCCGCCGGGCCCCGGGGACCCCCGTTTGAGGTGAGCGTCTCTCAGGTGACTGAAAGAGGAGGAGGCGGTCCCGTCCTGCTGCTTTTCTGTCTCTACGCTGCTTTTTCTCGCACGTTTCCTGCTTCTTTTTTCCCCTCTCAGTCGTCTGTTCTGGTCTTTCAGAAGTTACAGACGTGTCAGTCAGGGTGCATTTTGAGATTAGAGGTGTTTGAAAACAGCACAAAACTTTGCTGCACTAGTTGGATGCGTGATTCAAAACAGTACCGGTCAGACGTTTTAGCAGACACCCATGTTTGTAGTGTGTATATAAATGTAAGTAGTTCAAGTCCAGTGAAAACCTAGATGTACCCAAGTAAGCAGAAGTTAAAAAACATTTGCGTCCTCAAAACAAACATTTTCAGATCTAAAACTTAACAATTAAATTAAGGAGTTTTGTTCATTATTTCACTGTAGGATCAACTGATGACCAGCTGCTCTGTCTGCCTCCATTAATATATATAATATAGCACAAATAAAGCTTTTGAGGGTGGATTAACAGGCTTGAATTAGGGCCTGTGTCCACCAAAAGCGTCTTTTTCCGGTCGCCGCGAGTTTCAACTTTGGGAAAAACGCTGCGCTCGTCACTGTCACTTTTTCCCAGCCGTCCAATCACAGTGCAGGAGGGGCGGGACAAACACCACACCGAGCACATTCGATCAACGAAACAGTGTGCCTACTCGCCGAGGTGTTTCCTCGCCCGCAAAATCTCATGGACCCACGTTCGGGAGTCCGTCCCTCATGTTTCAGTCTTCTCTTCATGCAGAGCGAGTAGGCCTACGGACTTTGTGGGACATTTTCTACACAGTAAAATTAGGTAGCCTACGTGTGCAGCACATCGCAAATCATACATCGAAATTATGTATCATAGACATAAACCATACGCTGCGCCTCCAAAGCGCACCCTGGCGCTCCCAGCTAGGCGTTTTCAGCTGGTAAAAACCGCTTTGGTGGACACGGGCCCTTAGGGTAGCGGTCGCATTATATATACCTCGTTGGTTTCGATCGTTTTATAGGCTACGTCATTAACAAGGTAGCGTGTACAGCCACGATGCTGGCTCAAAGTTGTGATGTGTGTCCGTTAGACAGAACTGCAGCGGAAAATGCATTTTATCAACAGATATCGGAAGCCATAGCTTTTCATGAGCAACGAACGAAACCACGTTGATCCTACAACACAGTTTGAGATTAGACAATTTGAACACAAGTGTGTTTTGAAAAGGTTACGACCGTCAGACCAGCCGGGTCCCTGCAGTGCTCTGGGTTTCCTTCAGGTCGTTTCAGCAGAGAGGATGAGCCTCATGTGGCGTCTCTCAGTTGTTGCTTCTACACCGACACGATGAAACGGGTCAAACATAGAGCCGTCCAAGGTCGATCTAAATGGGTCACAGCCTGTTTGATGCCCCCCAGATGTGATGTTTGTTGATATTGATGTTAAAAGTCATCAGAGTGACGTTAGTGAACCACGCTGCAGACTGGAGTCCCTCAGCACGGTTGAAGGACGGACGCTGTTTTTACTGTTGACTCGGCGTTAGATTTCTCTCCTCTGTGATGTTGAACTCTGTTCTGTGTTCAGCTTCTGAAGCTTTTAGCGTAACTTTGCTTCCACCTCTTGTCTTACCGGCTTGCCTTTCTTTTTCTCTTCTTTTCTCCCTTCTTCTTCCTCTTCTTCTTGCTCCATCTCTCACCAGGACAACAAGAGCTCGCCTCTTCTACCTCCTGACCTGTTAAAAACTCTAGCAGATTTTGAGGAGGAGGAAGAGCTGGTCTTTACTAAGCCTCCTGATTTCTTCCAGGCCTTGGCTGGTCCTCTTAGCACTGCTCCTGGACCAAACATATTTGTATGTAGCCGTGTCTTCTGCCTCCATCACCCCCCACCCTGAACACCCCCCCACATCCAGACCTAGAGCCGCACTCTGCTCTTCGTCTGCCATCTCTTCCCTGAATGGAGCTGCTGTCTTTCATGTCTTGTGATATTAGAGTAGTAATGATTTACCAACAAAAACAATGCAAATTTAATTCCTCCTTATATCAGTGAGTCTGAAAGTCAAATATGTAGCTTTGCTGAAGTTTAACTGACAGGAGGGCGAGTAGATCATAAGCAAATCATTCTTCTGTGGGGTTTTCTTTACCTGTAAATCTAATGGGTTTGGCAGGATATTTTACTTCTGCGTCTTGGCTCTGAATAAAATAAGAGAGAAGCTGACCGCTGAAAGACACACAGGCTGTAACCATGTCAGAGAAGAGATCGTTTTATGATTTATTTCTGCCAAGTGTGAGATGAAGTGGCCGTCGAACATCCGGTAATCCCTCTGACTGTGGTTTTAGTCGGATGCTGAAGGGCCCTGGTGATTTAACAGGAACTGAAACACAAGAACAGATGAAAGGATCAATCAAATCAAAGAGAAATATTAAATGGACGCCTGAAAGGTTTTCATAAATGTATTAAGAAGAGATGTAAAAGATGATAAGTAGGTATCTGGAGATCCAGGATTTCCTAAACGTATAATATCCTGTCTGTCTGAGTCTTCTGCTCGTAGACAGACTGCTGATGCTTTAAAGTCTCATTAAATGATCCTCAGACATCCTCATTTTATAAAAGTGACCCTTAGCTCAGCTGTAAGGATCTATGGCGGTCCTCGGGGCCTATTTGTTCTGACTTAAATATATATATATAGATTTACATTAACGACTTCTCGTGCAGCTCCTTCACAGTAAATGTACTCCGGCTTTGTGAGGTGCTTTGGTCACATTCCCTTCAGCTGGAGAGCTTTTACTGTGAAACAGCTTTTATGCACTTTAATACGCAGCAAGACAATGAAATGGATTCATCATGCGGCTCCGCTCTGCAGCATGTTTGTGAAAGACGTGTGATGATATATCGGATGTCTGCCGGTCCTCATCATGTCCGTCCTTCGTCTCTGCAGCTGCCAAACCAGACCAGGATGGAGAACGGCCCCGAGGTCATCAGCCAGTCTTCTCTCCTGCCAATGTCTGGCTTCCCCATGCAGGTCAGACCCATCATCATCTCACAGTCACATGCCTGCAGGGGTTGATGGGTTGTACATGAGCTCCTGCTGAAACTTCTGCCTCCTTAAATTCACCAAAGACTGAAACTGAACGTCAGCGTTTCTCAAAAAGAAAATGTCTCAGAATTGGATAATGCAGAATATTCACTTCAAAACCAGTTCAGGGGTTGAGGGGGGGGCTGAGGGTTTTGGAAGGGATTGGGTTCAGGGTTTGCAGGGCTCAGAGGGGCTCGTTCAGATAGGGGGTTTGGAAGGGACAGGTTTTCAGAGGGTTCACGCGGTTCAAAGGGAGAGGGATCGGAGACTTCAGAAGGACAGGGTTCAGGGAGTTCAGAGGAACAGGGTTCATGGGGTTCAGAGGGGCTGGTACAGATAGATAGGGTTCAGGGGGTTCACGTGGTTCAAAGGGAGAGGGATCGGAGACTTCAGAAGGACAGGGTTCAGGGGGTTCGGAGGGACAGGTTTTCAGAGGGTTCACACGGTTCAAAGGGAGAGGGATCGGAGACTTCAGAAGGACAGGGTTCAGGGGGTTCGGAGGGACAGGTTTTCAGAGGGTTCACACGGTTCAAAGGGAGAGGGATCGGAGACTTCAGACGGACAGGGTTCAGGGGGTTCAGAAGGGCTGTTGCGATCTGAAGTTGTTTCAACATGTTGTTATCTGGGAGAGGTTTGTAGATGAACTCCTGCTCAGACTTCTGCCTCCTTAAGTTCACCACAGAATGAAACTCACTATTCACTTTAGAACACTGTTTTGAAGGTTGTCTTTATTTTATGAAATGGAAGCAGAAGTCCTGCAGCAGCTGGTCTTCAAAAGACATATTCAAGTTATGAGTGAAAACAGTGAAAGTTTGCTGCAACTGTTGTAACATTGTTCAACCACCAGGTGGAAGTAGATTCAGTTAACATGTGTTAAAACATACATGCTTACATCTGCATGTCTGATAGATCAAATCTGTCAGGGTATGTGGCATCTGTTCACATTCGTATCACCGTATTAATAAATACTGTGATAAAATACTTAATAAATAAATTTATATATTCAATAATGAGATTAGAACCTCTGTTTGAGGACAATCCAGTGAATCCTATTCCTGCAAACACCTTATAAATCTAATAATACCACAAACCACAACCAGAGGTATTAAAGGGATAGTTATGAACAACATTATACATTGTGTCTTCATATCATGATCAAATCAATCAGATCTGTCTCTTCATTTGTTGTGTGTTTGTGTGTTCAGGAGTACAACCAGAACAGCATCTTCAGTCAGGCCTACGGCAAGAACCTGCCGCCCAGCTCCAAGCCCGACACTCCCATGATGCACCAGGAACCATCCCTCTACTCCCTGTTCGAAGGGACTCCCTGGTCCCCCTCCCTCCCTGCCAGTTCAGGTACGTCTCACCTGTAAAGATGTAATATATTTATATTCATAACCGTGAAACACGGCGCTGATGTAAGCGGTGTTCTGATTGGCAGATCACTCCACCCCGGCCAGCCAATCCCCCCACTCCTCCAACCCCAGCAGCCTGCCGTCCTCCCCGCCGACACACAACCATGGAGCCATGCCTTTCTCTAACTTCGGGCCCATAGGCACTCCGGACAGCCGGGACCGCAGGGTGGTGGACCGCTGGAAGGCTGACAAGACCGGTGAGGACGGGTTCAAGGGGTTTGGAGGGAGGAGTTTTAGGAGGGTACGGGGGGTTTAGAGGGTTTGGAGGGTTCGGGGAATCTGGAGGGATAGGGTTCAGAGGGTTCGGAGGGTTTAGAGGGTTCAGGGAATCTGGAGGGATAGGGTTCAGAGGGTTCGGAGGGTTTGGAGGGTTCGGGGAATCTGGAGGGATAGGGTTCAGAGGGTTTGGAGGGTTCAGGGAATCTGGAGGGATAGGGTTTGGAGGGTTTGGAGAGTTGAGGGGTTTGGAGTGTTTGGAAAGTTCAGGGAATCTGGAGGGATAGGGTTCGGAGGGTTTGGAGAGTTAAGGGGTTTGGAGCGTTAAGGGGTTCGGAGGGTTTGGAGGGTTAGGGGGTTCGGAGAGTTTAGAGCGTTAAGGGGTTCGGAGGGTTTGGAGCATTAAGGGGTTCGGAGGGTTTGGAGGGTTCGGGGAATCTGGAGGGATAGGGTTCAGAGGGTTCGGAGGGTTTGGAGGGTTCAGGGAATCTGGAGGGATAGGGTTCAGAGGGTTTGGAGAGTTAAGGGGTTCAGAGGGTTTGGAGGGTTCGGGGAATCTGGAGGGATAGGGTTCAGAGGGTTCAGAGGGTTTGGAGGGTTCAGGGAATCTGGAGGGATAGGGTTCAGAGGGTTTGGAGAGTTAAGGGGTTCGGAGGGTTTGGAGAGTTAAGGGGTTCGGAGGGTTTAGAGCATTAAGGGGTTCGGAGGGTTTGGAGGGTTCGGGGAATCTGGAGGGATAGGGTTCAGAGGGTTCGGAGGGTTTGGAGGGTTCAGGGAATCTGGAGGGATAGGGTTCGGAGGGTTTGGAGAGTTAAGGGGTTCGGAGGGTTTCGAGAGTTGAGGGGTTCGGAGGGTTTGGAGAGTTGAGGGGTTCGGAGGGTTTGGAGAGTTGAGGGGTTTGGAGTGTTTGGAAAGTTCAGGGAATCTGGAACGTTAAGGGGTTCGGAGGGTTTGGAGAGTTGAGGGGTTTGGAGTGTTTGGAAAGTTCAGGGAATCTGGAACGTTAAGGGGTTCGGAGGGTTTGGAGCGTGAAGGGGTTTGGAGCGTTAAGGGGTTCGGAGGGTTCGGAGGGTTTGGAGCGTTAAGGGGTTCGGAGGGTTTGGAGCGTTCAGGGAATCCAGAGGGTTAGGGTTCAGAGGGTTTGGAGTTTTGAGAGAGTGCAGAGGGTTTGGAGAGTTGAGGGGTTTGGAGTGTTTGGAAAGTTCAGGGAATCTGGAGCGTTAAGGGGTTCGGAGGGTTTGGAGCGTTAAGGGGTTCGGAGGGTTTGGAGCGTTCAGGGAATCCAGAGGGATAAGGTTCAGAGGGATAAGGTTCAGAGGGTTTGGAGTTTTGAGAGAGTGCAGAGGGTTTGGAGAGTTCAGGGACTTCGGAGGGACGGGGTTCATGGGTTCGGAAAGACGGGGTTCAGATGGTTCGTATGGACTGTTTAGATCTTAAGTTTAAGTTGTTTGAACAGGTTTTTAGCTGCTGTTTTGTCAAAAGCCGACTTCAACAGATAAAAAGCAAAAAAACTTTTCTCTTGAATTAAAATAATCCTGATGAACAATCAGAACCACTGTCGGGAAAGTAGTTCTTTACTCACAGCTGTCTGTTCAGCCTCGAGTTCAGATTCACTGTGAGCTTTTGCTTCCAGATGTTGACATGTGGTTGTTGTGGTGTTTTTTAGGAGCGGTCAGCGGGTTCGGTCTGGACTACCTGCCGGCGTCGGCCTCCTCTGCAGCTTCAGACAACAGCTGGCACCAGGCCGGACCGCCTGGCAGCTCCTGGGCCAGTCAGGAGTCTCCTATGGAGGAGTCGTCCTCCACCGTGCTGCTCGACAGCCTCAAGGTCCACCAACACCCCCACATCTTTTAGTTTGACAGTTCCTGTCAATTATGAGAAAGTTAAGACACAAAATACCAAAGAGATGTGTGTGTTGAACAGGATTAGCGTCGTGCTAACACTTTGCTCTCCCCTGCAGTCGATCTGGTCGAGCTCCATGATGCAGCCGGGCCCGTCGGCGCTGGAGCAGCTCCTCCTGCAGCAGAAACAGAAGCAGCAGCGAGGTCACGGCGCCATGAACCCGCCTCACTGAACGGCAGGCCGAGGCGGCGCTTTGTGTCCGGACGTCAACAAAACCACCACCAGGAGAAACGGGAGGGAAAAAAAAACAGATGTTTGACGAAGATGAGCTCCAACTAAAATGGAAAATTAAACCGGTGAGAAACGGTGGAGGCTGGGGAGGCGACGCGACCCCCCGACGAGGCTGAAACACCACCCCACCCCCCCCGGCTGTCGAGGAGCGGTGACGCCCCTCCTGGTCCGGAGGGCGCGGGATCTCTTCAACCGCGGTGCCATGCGCCACGCCACCGCCGGGTTTCCTTCAACCCGTGGAAATCTGAACATTGAGGAACATAAACCCCCCCCCAACACCTCACCACCACTGACCCCCCCTGGTTTTGGACAGACGCCACATCTCCACAACTCCTCTCATCTGGAGGAAGTTCTTACTTCTGCGGAAGAAAAAATAAAAAATAACCCGACCTCCTGGACGTCTGCTCGGTCCGGCCGGAGCGCCTGTTTTTTAGCGTCTCCGCCGGCGCAGACTGAAGGGGGGCGGGGGCGTTGTGAGAGAGAGAGAATGGCGTGGCGGTCGGGTTCAGGGGGGGAGGTCAGGTGAAGCACTGGGGGTCAAAATATAGACTGAACTTTCTGATCTCTTTCATTTTCATTACTGTGGAGGAAGAGGAGGAGGAAGGCTCTGTGTAGCTTGGCGTTTGAATGAAGGAAGCGGAGGAGGACGGTTTGGGTTGGTACAGCGATATAATATAAATAAATATATTGCCATAGTTGGACTTTAAACGGGCCTTGTCTCTTAGCCGTGTTGTGAGAACGAGGACTGGCCGCTGCTTTGTGAAGCCAGGTGTGTGACGTCACCTGGACTGAGCGCTCGCTCGCCGTCCCACCTTTTTGAAGGAGGAGCCTTGAGACCGGATGGCGGGACGGCTTCGTGGTGCCAGTGAACGTCGCAGGAAAGAAAGAAGTACAAAGGGGGGGGGGGCTAAGAACATAAAAACCTCGTCACACTTAGGGATAGTATTACCGCTTCAGGAGATTGCAGATATTAACAAACTGTATTTTGTGATTTGTTCGTAGCAGTTTTAGCTTCACGCCCTGCGAGGCGAGTACAGGTATGTCTACTAGCTTCCTGCTTGAGTATTTCCGGGGTTTTCTTCCTCTCCGGCCTCTTCTTCCTGTTGTTTCTTTACTTACTGAAGAAAAAAAACAAAAAATGTAACCCTGCTCGCTTACTTAACCTGCATTTACTGTTTCTTTACGTTCATGTTTTGCCTTTTACTAGTTTTCCGCAGCTGTCGGCTCGTCTGTGCCTGCTCACTGTCCCGTCTACTGTTAGCACAGAGCGAGCGGCGGGCGGCTCAGCCTGAATGTTTTCCACTAGCTTTCCTTCAGTCACCACTACTGCAGCTCCACCCTGTACAGCAGACTTTTAAGAATCGTAGCGCTTTTATTTAACATGTAACTGAAGCCCCCTTTTCAACCTGAAAGTCCCGGGAACTAGGGAGCCACGAGAACCAAACTCAGGAACCAGAAAGCACCTTTTTGTGCAGTCACATTTTCTCCACATGAGAGCCGGTAAAATGGAACCAATTAATCCTGTAACGGATTAGAAAAACTTGAGAGTCCCTGTGTTGTCCTTCATTTAATATTTTGATTCATGAAATGATCAAGTTTGACGTCTTCAAAAGACTTGTGTCGCCTGATCAGGAGTCAAAAACCCAAAAAGATCCAGGATACTATCATAGGAGAAAAGAAAACCGGATAAGATTTACCTTTTGAGAAGCTGGAACACTAAAAATACGATATATAAAAGTAACTCAGTTATTAAAATTGTTGCCCATTTCTCTTCTGTTGAGCGATAAATCGACTTGTAGCTCAAGTCCTTCGCTTGTTTTTTCCTGACCAACCATCAAAAAAAACATTTAAAATATTAAGTTAATTGACAAAGAAAAGCCGCAGCTGGAACCAGCAAATGTTCTATAGTTTTATTTAAAAAATGACTTCATCCGTTATCAAACTTTCTGCTCCGTATTCACGGGTGTTCCTGTAGTGTTGCCCTGGGTTTTGTTTGAAAGGCGACATGCAGATGTGGAAAGTCCTTGTGTAGTTTATGGTTATTTATTTCTGCTTTGGTACAAAACAACCAGCAGCAAGCTGCACCCTGAAAGTTCCTGGGCCATCTAACGAGGACCTTTTTTTGTTTTAAGTCCAGGAAGTAAAAGTAAAGTTTCTGAGTTCCCTAAAAAGGTTCCTGAGTTCCTGAAAAGTTCCCGTGGAGGAGACGGGCTGGGGGAGTCGAGTTTCAGGGGCTTTATTCTATGGTTGCACCCTTGTAGAGCTTTTACCTGCCGTCAGTCCTGGTTGTTTTAGAGACAGCTTGACCAGTCAGGACGCTCAGAGGTGTGACGGTTTAGACTGCAGCACTGTAAGTAACTTCCTGTCCAGTTTAAACCAGCAGAAAGCTGTTTTTCTACCTTTAAAAGTGAAACGATCACTCGCCGTTCAGTTCCAAGGGATAAAAAATAAAAATAAATGCCTGTTTTTTTATTTTCCCTGTTTTATTGAAGCAGACTTACAAGAGACGTGTCTATTTTCAGTGTGATTGTGCTTTTCATGTTGCATTTACAAAATGTATTTGAAAAAAATAATAAAGATAAAATATTAATGAATGTGAGGACGAATTTGGCCAGAAGCGTCAAGGAGAGATGTTCATGTTAGAGGCTCATCACCACGAGGACCTCAGCTGGTTCTGGTCGCCTTTGGCTTTTCTTCTTTGTTTTTGGAGTAAGAACTAAATGGACCGGGATCTGTCGATGACATTCCACTCTGTAAGATGTTCGGGAGGCTTCAGGGCGGCGGGTCCTCGTTGGTCGGAGCTCTGACGGAGACTTTGTGACGGGAATCATTGGTTCAGATCTAAGCTTTGACTTTATTGTTTCTGTCTCTGTAGACTTTCAGAACTGGTGGAATCAGCCTTTAAATAAAAGTAAACAATGTTCTCCCTTGAAACTGTGTCAGTTTTTATTAATCTTCTTTTGTCAGTGCAGTCTGGTGGAGGAAGAAGTGTTCACTTCAACAAAGGTGACAACAAATGTACTTAAAGTATCTCAAGTACACCAAACAGACAAACTTGTCCCTTTGTTATGTTAGTTAATGCTAATGTATATTCATTTTAACATACTTTGTTTTCAGAATTCCGACTTTAAAGATTTGTCATTAAAGTCAGAACTCCAATATATTTGCACATGTGGCCCTAATCCTCTTCCATATTTAATCCTTTAATATATTAAATATTGTACATCCTACTCGGTACTTAAAGCTGTAACAATGCAGTGAATCTCCCTCACTCAGCTGTTAGTTTGAGGCTCCTGATACGGCAGGAATCAATCACATCTTTACCGTTCATGAGTGTCCAGTGAGCCCACATACTAACACATCCTCTAAAATAACTGGTCCTCCCACTCCCAACCTGCCGTCCCTCATTGACACCGCCACCACTCGCAGACCAAATACCATAAAACTAAATCCCAGCCGCCCTCTAAACTCCTGCTTCAGCCTTCTCCCCTCAGGCCGCAGATAGTCGCTGTACAAAAAAAGCATGACTTGGAAAAGTTTTGTACGCTGCTCCATAAGAGCGTTCAATTCGCAGCCAAAGTTATGATGCCCCCTTTGTGTAAAATGTGTAAATTATATACAGTGTAATAATAATAAATCCCCCTCTCAGCCCTTGTGAGAGGGGGATTTGTCATCCTCCAGCTCGGGTCCTGGGAGTTTGAGGGTTCTGCGCAGTAACTTAACTGTTACTAGGACTGCACTCTTCTGGACAGAGACCTCTGATGTTTTACCTGGAATCTGCTGGAGCCACTCTCCCAGTTTGGGGGTTCCCAGTGCTCCGATCACCACTGGCACCACTGTTGCTCTTACTTTCCACATCTTTTCTAGCTCCTCTTTCAGCCCTTGGTATTTCTCGTGTTCCTTCTTCTTGGGATTGCCACATCTATCACTGCAGCCTTCTTCTGCTGTCTGTTGATCAACACGATGTCTGGTTTGTTAGCCATCACCAGTTTGTCAGTCTGGATCTTGAAGTCCCACAGGATCTTAGCTCGGTCATTCTCAACCACCTTAGGAGGTGTCTTCCATTTTGAGCTTGGGACTTCTAGGCCATCCTATGGCAGATGTTCCTGTACACTATGCCAGCTACCTGGTTATGGCGTTCCATGTACGCACTTCCTGCACAGTGTGTATATATATATATATATATATATATATATATATATATATAGGTTGCTCTTTTAGGGCAGTCTGTGAAAACATTTCCTCCATTGAGGACAGTAAAGATTGAATCTGAATCTAACACCATTTCTTCATCAACTTCAATTGTGGCCAGCCTTCGGCCATTTATTGTGGCCAGCCTTCGGCCTTTTATTGTGGCCAGCCTTAGGCCTTTTATTGTGGCTAGCCTTAGGCATTTTATTGTGGCTAGCCTAAGGCCTTTAATTGTGGCCAGCCTTCGGCCTTTTATTGTGGCCAGCCTTCGGCCTTTTATTGTGGCCAGCCTTAGGCATTTTATTGTGGCTAGCCTAAGGCCTTTAATTGTGGTCAGCCTTAGGCCTTTTATTGTGGCCAGCCTTAGGCCTTTTATTGTGGCCAGCCTTAGGCCTGTTATTGTGGCTAGCCTAAGGCCTTTAATTGTGGTCAGCCTTAGGCCTTTTATTGTCGCCAGCCTAAGGCACACCTGTGCAATCCCCATGCTGTCTGATCAGCATCTTGATACGCCACACCTGTGAGGTGGATGGATTATCTTGGGAAAGGAGAAGTGCTCACTAACACAGATTTTGGCAGATTTGTGAACAGTATTTGAGAGAAATAGGCCTTTTGTGTAGAGAAAGTCTTAGATCTTTCAGTTCAGCTCATGATGAATGGGGGCAAAAACAACAGCGTTGCCTTTATAATTTTGGTCAGAGTAGATATCTACTGTGTATCTGTATATCAGGAGATCTCTTCCCAATCATCACATAGATTTATTAGTTCTGCAGTATTTGAATTCCTGCTATAATCAAACATCTACCATCATAAAATCTTCTGGTTGGTTGTTATGTTTTGTTTTCAGATCAAAAAACGAGCCACCAAAGTCCTCTTGTAACCAGACTGACATCCTCCTTTTGAGGCGGTCTTGGCCAAGTTGTTCAGTCCGCAACAACTTTGACTGACCACTTTCAACTCAAACAAACATAAACAAACAGGTGAACACACCTGAGTGTGTTTTAACTGACCCGAACAGGTTGGAGGTGAAAGCACCATGAAACCTTATCTCTACTGGCCTGTTCCCTGATAAACACTGTCCCCTTTGTCTTTGAAGAAAAACGCTGTTCGTGAGAGTTATAATCCAAACACCAGCCTTCAAAATGTCCCATCAGACCTTCAGAGATTTAGAAAGTAATA